GCCAGGCTCGGCGGCGGGCGGACGTGGGGGATCTGTGCCGGGACTTTGTACGGCGTCCGCGCATACATACATACATACCCTGGCACGCTGCGCGCCCACGAGACGGGGTGGCGAGATGCGGCAGGATGGGCGTGTGCTCCTGGATCCCACCGTCGGCTGGGCTGCATTTACGTACAGAGTAGATACATAGACCATGCCGCAGCGTTTAGCTCTGCTCGCCCGAGTGTCTAATGAGAATCGCCAATCCGAGCAGCGGACGCACCTGGCCCTTGACAAACCGCTGGCGTCCGTGCGGCTGCAGCAGGTGGGCTGCTGACTGGACGCAGCATACAATGCGTGCACGGCACACGGCCTGGCGAGCTAGAAGACGCGGGCGGTGAGAACGATCGATCTAAAGCGGGTGATCCGCCCTACCAGCCAGCCCCGGGTCTGGCCCTCCGCGCTCCGAGACGCTGCCTGTCCGCCGCTCCGCTTCTCGTGCGCCGCTATACAGTCGATGCGTTCTGCGTGCCGCGTGGCGCAGCGCGTGCAGCACAGGACCCAGTTCCAGCCAAGCCGCTGCTGCACGCGCCTGCGTCTATCAAACGGGGCAGAGACTCGCCGCGACAGGAAGGTAATTAGAGCTACCCGGTTCGTGCCCGCGCCGGCGTAGGGAGACCTCGTGACGCGATAGGGCAGCCCAGCGGTCCTCCCTCTTGGCAACAGTCGCCCTCCACCGTGGCTCGATCGTGGTCCGTGTGTCCCTGCGCAGATTCAGGGTGGTCATATCCATGACAGACGTTGGAGATGCCGCCATACGAGCGGTCGTCTCTCCCCTTCCCGTGCGCGCTCGCGGTCAGCTGCCTGTATGCGCACTCGTGCAAACCTTGTCATGATTTACAACTCGAGGACAGCATAGCCTGTACCTGGAAATCCATGCATACAACACTGGCTGCCCTTCGACTGGGACTGGGACTGGGACTGGGACTGGGACTGGGACCTGGGCACGGGTGGGTAAATCGGCCACCCATCGCTCTCTTCTCCAGTTCCAGGTGAGCAGAATGCAGACTGCGTTGTTGCAGCCGTCGTTTGGCCAGACAGGCTCAACATCGCCGCCGTCGTCGTCATCGTTGCTTGCATGCAGTGCGTCGAGGCTGAGAGGACCCGCGTCGGCGTGGCCGGGATCGAAATCTTGGATCTCAGCTGACGCGTAGAGCCAGAGTTGGCTGATAACCACACCAGCCACCTGCTCCCTATTCACCTCCACCGTCGCATCTCCGCCCACCGCCCCGCCTCTGTCCACGATAGGCCTCGTTCCTCCCCGTAACCCACGTTTCGCCTCTTTCCAGCGCCCCACTCATACTCCAGCCCAGCAACTCCCTCACACGATGCCCCGTCCTACGAGCATAACGCGGGTTCGCGGCTACCTGCGTATCGCCCCGATTCTCGACAACCTCCACGAAGATCTGGGGTCTGCAGATTGGGCGTGATCCCGACCGGCTGACGCGCGTTGTCGCTCTCGACCTGTACGGCACGCACGCGTGCGGCAAGCTTCAGGTGTGCGCTCGTCCTGCCTGTCACTTGACAGTACGCGACGGTACGATCTGATAGATAACCGCGCGTGCAAAGACTTGAACCTATCTCCAGAAGTGGTCGACCGTACGCAGACGCGAGTGTGCTCCCCTCGCTCCCCCTCCCCTCCCCTCCCCTCCCACTGTCCTTGTGCTATCTTCGATGGCGGCCGGAACTGCTCAGGCTGCTCGAACGTCTCGATGATGCAGCGCTCGGTCTTATCTCTCCGAGACCTCTGCTTCCCACCACGACCTCCAGCGCCGTCTTCCATCCCAAATCACAGATCCTCACGTCGATTCTCTCTGGCAAGACAACGCCATGATGTTCATATGGTGGATCGAGCTGTCGTCCCGGTGCCACAGTTCTCTCCTCCATAGAGACATTCTGGCCATCGCCTGCCTCGGCGCGTCATTCTGCAACTTCAGCGGCGATTTTTGCAGATGTGCGACGCCTTATCTAGACACTACCAGCCCTCACGGATCTCAGCCTGCATTTGCAAAGTACGTTACATCGACTCTAGTATCCACCCTGCTGCGCTTGCTGATTGGCCTCAGAAGCGCCTTTTAAAACGGGCTCGCTTTTCGACATGCCTAGGCAGGGCTCCGAGTCCAAGGCGTGATTCGCGCTTGGCCCACACGCGCCCCGAGACGGCATCATATCTCGAAGAGACTACGTGCGGTCTCTAGCCTTCGCGACGTTCATTTGCCCATTCACTTTGACACACATTCTCACAGGTTAGAAACGCTATTATCAATCGCAGGGTCATGGCCAGAATGCTGGAAACCAGATATTCAAGAAGACGGTATCCGGCTATTCCAAGATAGCCCATCCTCGACAAATACGGAGAACCAGGGGCCTTTGCTCGCCTCTGTAGAGGGTCCCCCCGCGCATCTTGCCGGCCCCGCATGCCTTGGAGGTCTTGCCTGCTCGTTCGGGAATGGTTCATGCGAAGGAGAGCGCACAGAAAACGGTGCGCGCCCAGGCTCGCGTTCTGCGCCCACGCCGGGTGCACTATATGGAAATGGACACTCGAATGTAAGCGATGTCCCGGCCCCCCGTTCCTAGAGAAGCTGATTGGATCTGCTGGCCAGGGCTAGCCTCTGCCACTGGCCGGACGATAAATGTTCGGCCATACGAGATGGTCGATGCCATGAGCGAGTGCCCCACTTTCTCGCACACCGGGGCACAAACACGCTGCGGTGAACCTAAAGCATCGGCACTTCAGGGTCAAGACACGGGGGGGGGGACCGAGGGGGAAGCGGCGTCCTTGCGGTACTTGGCCCTCGGCGACTGGACTGCGCAGACTTGTCAGACAGAACGAGATGGCCGAGGCGGCGTGCGAGAGCTGGCTGTGTGCAGGACGAATGCTGCGAGAAGGATGTGCAGGGTAGTGAAGGATGTGAATGGTTGCGACAAAGAGAGTTCACGAAGGTACGGAGCGAGCCTGGATGTGATCTCCGCGGTGGAGGGGGAGCGCCTCGGCGCCTGCGGGCGGGCGCGGTCACGTGACGGGGCGAGGAAGGGGAGACGGTGCTCGGAATCCGAGGAGTTAAGGGCAAGTCCTCTTAAATACACCCAAGCGGCGACGCCGCGGCTGGTGCCTCGGAGGCGACTTGTCAGCCACCCACCACCATGCTGGCCCTTCGTCTTCCGGCATAATGTCTCCTCTTTATCCCTCGTGAGCACCGACGGCCGCGCTCTGGTCCTCTAGTAAAGTTGACCATTCCGCTTGACAGACCTCGCGAGGATGTCGTGCAGACTCCCCCCCTCCACACCGCCTTTCTCACCGAGTCATCCGAGTCATCTGCCGCACAGGACAGCATCACCTACGCCCGTGCGCAGATCGACGCGGAAATCCTGCAGCTTGAACGCAACATTTACTCCCTCAAGGTTCGCAGAAACGGCCTCGCTCCTATCCTCCATTTGCCCGTCGAGCTCCTCGCGGACATCTTCGTCCTCGTCGCGACCGCCGACAGAGACGATAGCGAGCGTTTTGATGACCTGTCCTGGGCAAAGGTCTCGCACGTCTGCCAGTATTGGCGCAATGTCTCTCTCATTACCCCCAGAATGTGGTCCCACATCACGTCCAAGAGCGCGGCGTGGGTGGCGATGCAGCTCCAGCGCGCTAGGTCCATCCCGCTCGTTGTTCACATCGACATGCGGCAGCAGACCTCCATCAACCTCTCCGATGGCGCCCACATCCTCATTCGCCACATGTCCCGAGCCCGAAAGCTCACTGTCTCTGCGGGGCGGAGCCGCGTACCTGTGCTGCAACTCTGCAATCACCTGATCAGTGCCGCACCGTTGTTGGAGTCGTTCGTTTTCCGCGACTCTATTCAGCTCGAAGCAGGGAACGCTGCTATCCCCGTGGCACACATCCCGCCTAAAGTGTTTGACAACCAGTCCCCCCTGCTGTGGTATGTCGAGCTGCATCAGTGCACGCTGTCCTGGACGACGACGCTCTTCGGCATCAATGTCACGCACCTCATCCTCGATGGGCGTGGTGTGCGAATGCGCACCTCCCCGGGCGAGATCATCAGCGCTTTGGAGCGCATGCCCATGCTCCAGCTTGTCAACTTTAACCAAATTGCCCCCCACATTCCATGGGACTTTGAGCCTCGCACTGTAGACCAAGGCCCTATCTTCCTTCGCCACCTCCGCTTGCTCCACATTGACGCCCTCGCCCTGAACTGCGCAGTCCTCCTCTACAATCTCTGCTTCCCTTCCAGCACACAGCTCATCCTCTGCTGTCACCTCTTCCGACGATACGACGAATTCCGCATCCTTGGTTCCGCCGTGTCGGCCACGTACCATTATCACGCCATCGTAGTAGGTGCTGAGCATCCTTTGCAAAGCTTCACCTTTGCGCCCATATCTCCCGATACCCTCCAGCTCAACGCGTGGACAGCCGGCATGACCATCGAAGAGCTTCGCCGCATGCCCGAAGGCCTGGCCTCGGGAGCCTCCCTGCAGATGAACCTCCGCTGGGATGGTATCTCGCTTGACAACAGCGTGCGGTGTCTCGTATATGCCTGTCGTTCCCTTCCACTGTCCAACGTGCGGGGACTCCACGTCCCCAATTACGTGGCGCTGACAAGCCGAGCGTGGCTCCAAATCTTTGCCGGCATGCGGCGGCTCGAGGCGGTCTGGGTGGGCGGACGGTCCGCAAACTCCCTTCCCCGGGCGTTGCGACGCGAGGTCTGCTGCGAGCTGTCTCCGTACTTTGGACACGGACACGAGCACGAGCTGCAAAAGGAGTCGGGGCACAACGAGTCCGGCCACCGGCACGGCCACGTCCCTGCGCTGTTTCCGCTCCTGTGCGAGCTGGCGCTCGAGGACGTGGATTTTGCTGCGGGCGCGAACCATGACGCGAGCTTCTTCGCGGAGCTGCAGGAGGTCGTGATCGAGCGGTGCCGGCACCGGAACGAGCTTAAGATTTGCATCCACCGCTGCCGTAACCTGATCGTGGAGCAGATGCACGATCTGCAGGTCGTCGGCGCCGATGTGTTCTGGAACGGCGAGGAGCTCCTCGACTTTGACATCGCCGAGGTGGACAGCAACAACTCGGATGAAGACTATGAAGACTTTTACGACACCGACACGCACTCTGAAAGCTCCGACGGCGACGAGATTTATTAATGAGATTACTTATGTACAGGACATGAGTGAGGTATTGCTTCGATCGTGTTGGGATGATTTCTGCTTATGTATGTTAGATTAGTATACAAGCTGCGTGTTTGGTCCGTTTGCCCTGTCGGTACACATACATTCTGTGGGGGCGGTCGTCCTCAATAAAATGATGTTCTGCGAGCAGTCGGGTCCGCGCGACGATCGACGATATGAGCGGGTGAATGGCGCCAATGTCAGCCGTGATCCGACCCAGCCAGGTGCGACGAGCCAGCCTCTGAGGGCAGCCTCCCTCCTGCGGTGTTCCTGGGGTATAAAAGTCCTGTCCTCCTCGCCCTCCTCTCGTTGCCCTCCTCGATCTCCCTCGGTGACGGTCGGATGCGCTGACGGCTATGCGGGCTAGGCAGGCTTCTGAGCGACGACTCCGGTGAGTCCATTCAGCTGGGTCCCTCCTGTAGGAGTGGCAGACATCCGGAGGAGACTCGCGGTCTCTTCCCAATGCCTGCCGTTCGTATGCGAGGGATCCCGGGGAGGGGGCGGTGAACTCTTCCCGGGAGCGCAGAGCCGCCGGTGTGCGGGCCCAGTCGGGCTCGCCTCCCTTGCGCTCCCCGGATTCCACGCCGTCGTGCGCCCAGATTCTCTTGAGGGACGTTCGGTCGTTCTCGCGTAATAGTGGCAACACATTCGTCTCGTCTAATAGCTATGTTCACAAACAACGAATAGGATACAGATAATTTCCTGTATACACGATCATGGCTTCTATCAGGTTTACACATCCCCACCAACACCTCGCGCCCGGTCAACTCCCAACCACAACGAGAGAGCGACAAGTAAAACACCACCACGGGAAAAGAGAAGAAAGTCCGAACGTGCGCAACGCGCCAAGTCGCGCGCGCAGGATTAGTGAATACAGACGCGTATAGTACTGTACATATTTGTGTTACCGCGGCCCGGCCCAGATCTTCATTTGGTTTTGATATTTCATAGTCCCTGTTTGATGGCCTGTAGAGCACAGAGCGCCGCTAGAGAAAGATCACCGTCAACCAAAGACGTCGGTGAAGAAGAGCATAAGCTTACCTCCTGCCCCGCTGCCGTCCTTTGCCAGATCGATCTCGACGCGCTTCTCGACGGCTTCTCCAACCAGCGACTGGAGGGACGCGCGTAGACGTGTCTGGAAGTTGGGGTAGTGCTGGATCAAACTACAGGCGGAATCATCGAGGTCGATTCTCTGGTACTTGAATGACTTCGACTAACCTTCCATCTACACCGACAACGATGTTCTCCTTCGGTTCTGGGGTTCCGCCCCCAAGTTTAGCGTGGCTGGTCTGTACGAGAACGGCCGCAATCGCCGTCGCGCTCAATCTGGCCGCGCGGTTTGCAACGAGAGACGCCGCCCAACGCACAATCGCCGCGTCTCGAAGCGTGACATTCTCAGGCGCAAGCTGGAGCCTCTGTATGAGGATATCCCGTATGCGCTCGAGCCGTGCGATGTCTTGCGGGGACAGAGCGTCCACATCCGTGAAATGTGCTGATTGCCAGTTTGGCTTCGACCCACTCGACTTCTGTGGTGCCACCTCATCTCCACGTCCTGATTCCCATGCGTACTCGACCTCGCTTATGATCGCCGTGTCGAGCCCGTAATGAGTGTTCAAAGGTGCACTAGAGGAGCCGTCGAAAAGAAGAGGCCGTGGTGATGCATCGATGAGCGAAAGCAAAATGTTGCGGGTGATTTCGCCAAGATACATGCCTGAGATGAATTTCTCGAAGGCTTGTTTACGTGGGTTGATCGATTCACGATCGAGCTTGTTATCGTATGGCGTCGTAGGCAGTGTCGTACGCTGTGTGCGTTTTAATTAAACTACCTGTTGCTTTCGACTTCACTACGTAAAGACATACCGTGTTGTTAAAGGCTCCCCATTCAGTATTGACAATCATGACACCGCCCTTTGTACGGGCTGGAGAGTTACCCAGTTTGGTAATGTTACTGACTTGTTCGACGAACGCTCCATTTGTTCCCGTGCCAAAGATTCCACCTGGGAAGACGGTGGGGATATAGCTCATGGAAATGTAGATCGATACCTACCTAGTAAACACGACCCAGCGGTATATGCACGGGACAAAAGGGTGCCGACTGTCTATCCGTGCAGGGGGACGGGTAGATGCCATGGCCGTCAGCTCCGTCCAGGGAAAGCTAAAGCGGGAGATCACATACATCATTCACAAGAGCGACACATCTGACATGTAGATGCTTCCTATCGAATGCATCTTGCAATAGGCGCACAACATCGTTTCCGATCGCGTTCTTTGCTGCAAAACCTTTGGTCCATGTGAGTATCTTGCCTTCGTTCAGTGCGGTTTGCTCGACGGGGAAACTGAAAGTTAGACCAAGTGGAACCTCGGTTGGAGAATCGAAGGGATTAGCAACGGATGTTGAGACCGGAGAGCCAGTTGCACTGGAGAATTCCGTGAGGAATGCATCCACGGAATCGGCCAGGTAGTCTGGAGGGACAGGTCAGCGAAAATGGGCTGGTTCAAATCGTAAATGTGAAATCAAGAATGACTAGACCTACCGAACAGGACAGTAGCTTCGCCTGTTTTCAACGCCTCTGAGACTTTGTATTTCTGCTGTCGCAGGCGAAAGTCGTGGTTCCCCAACAGCGTAACTTCACAAACTCGTCTTCGTGCACATACTGAGTACTTAAGAGCATACATGAAGTGTCGTGTGACTCACAGGTTTGTTCCCCCCAGATCAAGAGCTAGGAAAGTGCTGTTGATAAGAAATCATAGTTAGCTTGCGCGATGTGCGGCTAAGAAAGTGCATTCCCGAATTCAACCGCATTGGAGCCGAGCCGTGCGGTCAGATACGGGACTATCCATGAATATAACCGAGAGTTCAGAAACTTGTCGTCGATCACTACAGCCATGATCGTCGCCAACTTTCAGAATTCACCGAGATTGATTGCTCCCGGATTCATGCGAATATCGGAGACTTCGGAGGAGTAAAGCAGGGACGGGATTCCAAATAAAGCTGCGCCGATACCGGACATAGACCGGAGCGCGTCGATAGAGAAATCGACCTGCTAGCACAATCGGAGTCATCTCCTCAACGGATTGAAGGGAACATACACAGTTGATGCAACGATGTACAGGAACGCGTACTATGTACGCGAATGAGTAAACGAAATGCTCACCCAGTTTCTGTGCCATCCGGTACACCCGTGACAAAGGTAGGGCTTCATGCTGGAGTGAAAAATCGCTCCCATCGACAAGACAATGCGAAACGCACATCATGGCCATCGGGTGATTGTAGTCTCCTAACCCGAGACGAAAGTCCTCGAGAAACTGTTCGGTAATCTTGATGAGAGCATCCTGGCCGAGCTGGAACTGGTGCTCGATATCGTCGAGGATCTTGCGCTCGGCGTCGTGCGTCGCACCATTGAGCGCAGCTGTTCTAATCATGGGACTGTAGGTGCGGACGGGGGGTCGACGGACACAGGGAGTTCGGTAAACCCAGTCGACGCAGGGCGCGTCTACTTATGACATCGTTCTCAGGTCACGTGCCCGCGCCGGAGTCCGATCTGTGTATTCTGTCGGTCGCCTCGCTGGCCGCTCGGGGCCTCTTCGCTCGACGCTCTCAGACTTGTCACTGAGTACCCAGCTCTCGTTGCCTCGTCCAGACACGATCCGGGCGACGAACTCGGCTCATCTGCTCCTTTCTGAGCGCAGCCGTTGTCAGGCTCTCGATCTTCGCGTCTCCAATCTAGGCGTCCACCTCTGAGACGCTTGAGTGCGTGCAGTGACTTTTAGTAGTACATAGTCCATCTTTTCAATGTCATGTGTGATGTGGGAACTATCTTGTCGATAGAGCTGCGGGACGTCACCAATTGAGAATGAATTTCTTGCCCTCAGCAAACCACGTAAATCGGTGCTTCCACGGATGTACTAAAACAAATTGTGCGACCCACGCTGTAAATTGCATGTGAGTGTGATATAGAGCCACAGGCAGAAATAATCATGTGTGAGGAAATATGCGATAATATGGTACTAAGTTACCTAAGTTTGAATGACCTTGAGGGCACTTGAATTCACCCGAGTCCAACATCGACAACCGGTTCGGCCGTTCCCGGTACCGTCCGGGAAAGCCATATTCTGCTTCGTGACGACCTCAGGTTCATCACTCTACTCTTTTCCTGTGAGCCTGCTCTCAGCCTTTTCCTTCCTATTTCCTTGCTTAGAGCAGTGCTCCCAGTCTACAATGGCCTCAAAAGCAGCAGCAGCGGCCGTTGTGAGTTCCCAGCGCACACAAATTCGCTGAGCGCGTCTGACATGTCATAGGACTTCGCTCGCGTTTACTCTTCGCTGGGTCTCTCTAAGGGTCAGTCGTCGAAAGAAAAGTAGCTTTGGGGTGCAGAAGATTCTGAAGATAATGCTTATTTCAGAGACCATTGCGTCCCTCCAGGCCTTCCGCAAGCGGCACGCGGACGCCCAACGCATCCACGCACAATACGCCTCGCAACCAACAACTCTTGATCTCGAGCACTACCGCTCTGTGCTCAAGAACAAGGCCGTCGTGGACGAGGCCGAGAAGATCCTCCGCGAGTTCAAGCCTGTCACGTACGACGTGAGCACGCAGATCAAGGCGATTGAGACTTTTGAGGCGAAGGCGGTACGTGCCGCGCAATAGCTGCGTATCTATCACGCTTTTGACTACTTAATCTCAACCTGGTATGTAGGTCGTAAAGGCGAAGGAGACTACGGAAAAAATCGACATGGAGTTGAAGGATCTCCAGGCAACACTCGCCAACATTGAGGATGCTCGTCCCTTCGAGGATCTGACGGTACGATAGTTTCTCTATGCTCGTGCAAACGCCTAATGCTCCGAGTGCAGGTGGAGGAAGTCGGCGAGGCGCACCCTCGCATCGTACAAACCGTCGAGACCATGATGAAGAAGGGCAAATGGACCGTTCCGGGTAAGCCCGCTAAAGTCCGTTCTCGTCTCGCTCACTCATTGCTTTTCCCATTCAGGCTACAAGGAGAAGTTCGGAGACCTTTCCCTCATGTAATTCACGTAGAAGACTTTGTCGTAATAGATTGCGCGAACAGTCGCCCTCAACGTGCCGTCATGCATTCAGACAGCGGTGATAATGCGGCTTGCTTGTAGACGCGAGATCACGCTAAATCTCAATGATGCATCCTGTTCGTTAAGTTATGATCGTACAAAAGGATTACATTAGTCGATGTGAACAGCGTTAATGCAAGTCTGCCAAGCCACCGTGTTAGACTACACACGATGACCAAGTGTGATGACGAAGACAGAGGTAGTATACTGATGCGAGACGCAAATGCTACTGGGGATAAGAGTTAGGGTATCACGACGGAATGAGGACGTGTATGCGCGCGCGAGACTGGCACACTAAAACAGATCTTCTAATGTCATTTGTTTTACAATATCCTACGGTAGACTGAATTAAAAAGCATCTAGGCCTTTCAAGCTTCGCAGGACGTACCGTATTTGAGACCATCTGGACGAACTCTTCAAAGCTCAACTTCCCATCGCCATCCTTATCCGCTTCCATGATTGTCTTGTCAACAATCTGCTGCAGCTGTCCGTCCTTGAGGTTATTGCCAACCATCATCTTCAGAACGAGGAATAGCTCTCCGTTCGAGATGAAGCCGTCCCGGTCCATGTCGTACACCTTGAACGCAACTGGATACGACATGGTGAGTTCTGCTGTTCAGAACAAGTGGTGAGGGACGTACATCTCAATTTCTCTTCTCGCCCTCCTCGGCTACTAAACGCACTGAGGCCACCCACGAATTCTTGGAAGTCAACGGTACCGCCGCCACTAGACGGGGGACAAACCCGTCAGGAATTAGATATAGAAGCGGACTGATACAAAGAACGAACTCTTCGTCGAAGATGGCAATCAGGCGCGACGCGAGGGGATTGTTAGCGATTTGAGGGATTTGTAAGAACTCTTCGCGATCTATCGATCCAGAGCCGTCGCTATACATGCGAGCACGATGAGAAGACTCTTTGATTAAGAGGGCGAATGCGCGCACCTGTCGAGTTTCATGAACCGCTTCTTCAATCGCTCCAGCTCGCTCGCGTTGACTGGTTAGAGAAAAATAAATCTCGATAGATGCGGACCATCATGATGAAATCGCACAGTTGGAGCGCCGCTGCATGTCCTCCATAAACTGCGAAGCTGCACACGACGCCACTTGTTAGTGTTCATTCATGAATTAGTGCAAGAACTATTACGAACGTGATTGTCCCATTTTTTCTTATATTTCTACCTCGCGGAACAGGCTGCAGAGGGAGTATATTCAGTGCAGATTGAGTGCTGGGTGAGCGTTGCGAGGACGTCGTAAGCAAGAAGAAAGAATTCCGGCGGACCCCACTGCCTCTGAACAACTCGCGAGCGCAATGAACGCTTCTTTAGATCGCGTGGGAATATGCGCGCTTCCCGCAAACTCGAGAAGGCGTCTATTTTCAAGCCAGGCGATCTTGTTATGCTCCAGCGGGTTCGTCGAGCTCTATCGGACTCTCCACATCTTGGAAATGGTTTGAAAAATCCGGGACACACGCCCGGTTGTACCCCACAAATCGTACAAAGCTGGCGTAGTGCACATTCCGCTCGTCCTGACATGCACCGCAAGTCGGATAGTCCTACAGGATTGAAGCCAGCAGCCCAAGAAACAGATGTCCTTCCCAGGTCAGACGCGCAACGGCGAACAATTTATGCGCTTTCAACGCCCCCAGGGAAGGCTGGTGTCGCAGTCATAAGGATTTCTGGTCCGGACGCCCAGGACGTCTGGAGAGGTATGGTCAAAACAGGGAGTGGAGGCGAAGGCAGAGCAGCTCATGGACAACAATCACCTGAGCCGTGGAAGATGCACAGGTGCCGTGTCGTTCACCCGAGCTCCACAGCCATCCTTGATGATGGCCTCGCGGTGCTCTTCGTAGGTAAGCTAGCACTCGTATGCTATTTGTGCCGTCTTTATTTATCCATTCTCATAGCGCCAAAGTCGTTCACAACCGAGGATGTCCTGGAGCTGCATATCCACTCGGGTCGGGCAGTCATTTCTTCTGTGCTAGCCGCGCTATCGCAGTTTCCATTTACTCGTCCGGCTGAGCCTGGGGAGTTCACTCGGCGTGCTTTCGAGGGAGGGCGCCTCGACTTGACACAGGTTGAAGGCCTCAAGGATCTCATCAATGCGGAGACCGAGAGCCAGCGAAGAGCTGCGCTGATGGCAGCTGGGGTGGGTGAGGCTCATCCGCTCTTCCGTCGTCGCGGTAGGAATGCTTATGTATTTTCATTTTGAAGGGAGCTTCGCGGAATCGGCTCGAGCGACTCCGACAACAGATCATCAAGTGTCTGTCGCTGGTCGAAGCCCTGATTGATTTCTCAGAAGACGAGGATATTGAAGACGGTGTCTTTGATAAAGGCAAGTCCGCTCGTAGAGTCTGCACTTTTCCGCCGTTGAGCCTGCCGCAGCCAGGGATCTGGCTGAGGAAATCTCTCAGACAATCCGAGCACACTTGTCCGACAGTTGGCGGGGAGAGATCATGCGCTCTGGGGTTCGCCTCGCCATCTTCGGCCCTCCAAATGCTGGCAAGAGTAGCCTCCTCAATTTCTTGGGTAAGTTTATTTGCAGTCTGACATACTTCTGGCTTATATTAGGCAACATTTAAGCTCAGCGAGAGGCTGCAATCGTCACACCGATTCCTGGGACAACCAGGGATGTCTTGGAATTGTCGTTGGACGTTGGTGGCTTGCCCGTTGTCATCGCTGATACCGCAGGTATACGGAAGACCACAGACCATGTTGAAAGTATAGGCGTTGAGCGCGCCAAGAAGGCGTAAGTACCTGCGCAACAGTCCCTAGTTGCGCATCTGTTAAAACTCGTCCGCAGTGTTGAATCTGCCGATGTTGCTCTCTGCGTCTTATCGCTCCCTGACATACTCCAGGATTTACCCCTCCCGGATATATCTCCGTGTACTACCGTACCTTCCGTATCCTCGATGATTAAGCGAGACACCTTCGTCCTGTTTAACAAGACCGACATGGTTGATGTTGCCTCACCAGAGGTTCAACATATTATGTCTGCAGTGAACGCTCGCAACATCTGGCCCATTAGTCTTACGACTGGGGAGGGCGCAGATACATTTTTGGACGAATTTGCGCGCGCACTTCGTGAGCGGTAGGTACAAATTAGCATTATCACCGCAACCTTGCTCAAGAGTACTAGTTACGACGTTCTTCAAGAAGATGCTTCGAATCACAACATGCCTTTGATTACTAATGCGCGCCAACGTACACACTTGGAGAGTGCTCTCCGATATCTAGAAGCATCTCTCTCATACTGTAAGTCTCGTATGCATCTGACGGTTTTTTCTCAGTTGATACATTATCGATCCGTGATGATGCTGATAAGCTTCTTATCAGCTTCCAAAGACGTCGTTCTCGCCGCAGAAGAGCTGCGATATGCCGTGAGAGCTGTGGGCAAGATTTCGGGACATATCGATACTGAGGACATACTCGACGCTGTCTTTCGTGAATTTTGCATTGGAAAATGATATAGTGAATACCGCCCGATGCGGGTGCGTTCTTAAGCCTGTGTGGCAATCTATAGTCGGTGTTTGATGCTTTCGTACATATAAGGCCAGTCTGAGTCCAAGGGTAAGTATGGTTCCGACTTGCGAGCGATGAAATTCGGTCAAGTTGGGCGTTATGCTCTTGCTATGATGAGAGTGTAGTATGTCAGCCAGGATATCATCGATGTCAATCCAAACAGGATGCGGAATTGCAAGGTAAAGAGCCCTAGTCGCTAGCCATACCGGGAAGACGTGGCAAGGCGTACCACCCTACGCCAAGACCTGGGGGTACGAGCTGTGGCGAGAGCAGTCCCAACACGATACTCCGAAGTTGCCATACCCTCCAGACTATAATCCTCCCCGCCTTTAACCCACGTTGACAACCTTGTACGCGATGCGCCGCATTCTGGGCACGCGGATAATGCACAATATCCGTGTTGACAGGGACTCCAAGGGACTGTAGGATAAGGGGGAGAATCTCTGATAAATTCGCGACTGAATTTTGTGATACCTCGGGAGTGCCAGGGTGCGAGCAGATTTTTCCATGAGTATTCCAGCCCTGAGGAGATCTGATTTACCCTGAAGGTGGGCACGTCCCATGCGAAGTAGCAGAAAAATTTAACACGGACTGTCTGAAGGCAGTCAAATATCGTGTTCGTGCGGAGCAACTGCGTGAACGCCTTGTGGTCGGCGCTGTCTTGAAGGTCGTCAAGTAGCAGATCATGATCTTGTAAGACATCTTCGCACAAGACTTCCAAAGTCAAGTGGGAAATATGGGGACTTGAAATTTCGGAGATCATCTCCGTTACACGTTTCCAATATGCTTTGTACGGGTACCATTCCGCAAGTATAATTCTTAAGGAGCGTAGGGAGCAACTGTATAGTAGACTTGGGCTGTGCTCTGGCATTCAATCGCGTCAATACATAGCCGCTGCTAACACAGTGATCATAAAGGTACGAACCTATGCCCCTGCAAGGCAGACTCAGATGGTGAAGCGATTCGCCCAGCATTTGGAGGAGCTCATGCGTGGAAGTTTGCCATGTAGAATCATCGAAACTCGGCTCTAACTGAAGATGGCGAAGAGTCTTCTTCCCATGTTGACTGTACACTATCCAGTTCAACAGCGGAATCATCAACGAAGGAGTCACATGGCGGAGCACTAATGATCGCAGTTGAAGTCGAGGAACCTTCGACCAGGAATTGTTGGTGGGTACATGAGAATTCCACGAATCAAGAGCACCTAGATGTAGGTCTTTTATAGATGATAATGCTGATAGAAGACGTCGCAAGTCGCTGAAGTTACAGAATGTGTAGAACGCTAATTTGAGCTTTGTGATGGAAGCAAATTGCGCCATGGACAGGAAGAATGTATGATGAGGTCTAAAATTCGTCGCATGATGAACGGTGCTGGCAAATCGTCCAGACATATGAATAGACTCCAAGGTAGTGATATGGCTTCCCAAAAGGTAGGGGACGGCAGCCGCATAGGACTCGTCTCCGGATTCAGAGATCACAAGATGTCGCACTTTACGGAGGCGGTTGATCACCTCTGGAGCGTGCATTACGCATTTTGCGAGATGGTCGAACATTCCACGGTGGTCGATGTGCAGTGTGTCGTAGAGTAAAAAGAGACTACGGTGAGACCACAGTTTGCATGTTCGTGCACATGCATACAGTGACCTGGAGTCCGACCAGAGAAACTCGATGATGTAGTCCGTGACTTCAAGCGGGATGCGGTCGGACAAGACGGCAGGAAGAGAAGACATCTTTGTTGTAAGTACGTAGCCTAGACTCAGTGTTGACCCGGTGACTGCGTATCCGACGCGGCTTAGAAAGTCGTCAGCCAAAGTATTTCCATAAGTTAAAACATACCCTGCAACAATTACAGCTCGTATTTTCTGTTATATGCTCTGAGTGAACGCAATGATCGACGGCGGCTGGAAGGCGGCTGTGTGCCAGAAAGGTGAAGCCGATCGCTGGCGCTGTCTGAACGGATTCAGTCTCCGGTTGACGGTGTAAGTATGTTCGAACCAAGTATTATTAGTGTGAAAGTTTAACCAGCGCCTGCGTCCCGCCGGGGGAGAGGCAGGCAGACTGTGAGCCGGTTCCAGAGACTTTTGGGATAGACTACATTTGAATAGGTCTCAGAGCTACTTGGCTACGGAGCCAGACCTGTGGCATCTCGCTGTGGCGTCTCCACAAATTAGCCTAGAATCTCCGGGTCATGAAGTCACCACCTTGTCAAAGCCACCACGGTTCTACTGCTTACTATGGGCCAGTCTTGGTTAGTGTATCCTCGGAGAAATGGTACCAGATGGATAGCTGACCGTCAACCGATGATTCTAATGCAAAATCTGTAAGAGGTCACTCCTTGTCGGCGTTCTCGGACCACACCTCCCAGAGAGGCAGAACTAGTATCATGTTCGCCCGTTTAACTAGGCCCGCCAATAGTTGAGTCGCCATCAGTAAGTTCTTTGCCAATTCGGTTATCTTTGAATACCCAGGAGTACAGTTCGTTGTCTGCTCAACCAATAACACTGTGCACGTTAGATATATCTCTTACGTGTGCCTCCACGAACCCGAATGCATTTGGCACAGATCCTGGTGATTACATGGTATAAAAGCAGACTCTACATGATACCAAGTTCCTCAGTCCTCGACTACAATCCACATCACACACAGTACAATGTCTGTGAGTATACAACCGTCTTAGACAAGCGTACAAGTCTCTCATTGACACCCTTTCTCCTTCCAGGACACCGCGAAGTGCGCTAAGACCGAGGCTAACGGCGGCACCTGCAACTGGCCGGCATGCGGCTGCGCTGAGCCTCCCAAAAGCAAGTAAGCGTGCATCCGCACGTCGCTATCTTTCTTTGGTGCGTCAAATTTTCTCCAGACAAAATTGAACCATCAAACTAATGTGATCTCGTGTTAGTGACATACCCGAGAGGTGGACGTTTGGCTTGGTTTGGGGTGGTACTTCCCTCGACCAATATTGAGCATACATCTGTCGATAGAAGGGTGATAGCATCTATTGGGTAGAACATGGCAATGGAATATTAGTCTCCGGTTTCATCTTGTCCATTGCTGAGAGATATTAGTTGGGTGACGGGGTTGTACTGTCAAATAAGCTACCAGAGCACCGAATGGAAAGGTGCGGACTTTGAGGCATTGAACTCGTGCACAGCTGTTCGAGGACAGCCGCTATCTACTACCGACGAAAGGCTATGCAGCCACCGAGATGGATATATGATCTGTTGCCTGTGCAATTGTTGAGCAGTGGATCACCCTTTAAATTTCTTACTGAAGCACTGGCAAGTGATGTGTATATCTCCGCGACCTCGAATTTAATTTATGCTAACTGTGCTTTGGAGCAACGAGGATGTTCACGGAAGAATTCTGAAATGCTGTGGACGTGGCTACCATGAGGGACTCGTCGGTACTCATCCCCCATTCTCAATCTCTGGACGTCAAGGTCCGTAAAGCCTCGTGACTGGGTCAAAATTGTTAGCACATTGGTGAATCGAATATCAAATTTTAAATTGTGCACCACAGACCCAACATTTTGTCCCTGAGCCAAACCACACGCTTCTCAGAACACGGAGCAGAAAGACAGAAAGGAAGCGGGGAACTGTGGAGCATGGATCAAATGTGAATCAATCAAGACTAGCTCACCCGCTCCATGCAACCAATGGACAAAGAGCAATCTGTAAGTTCCGCACCAATAAGCTGCACTTACATTTATGTGCGACGCGATTTGTGGTGAGTTCGACCAATAGAGTGATGTATCTTATGCTTGGTGCACTAGGCCACCAGTCACGGACTTGGCACCTGTACGATATAAAAGAGGGACATGTCTGTGTATAAGGCCCTCAGTCCTCGACTACATACCACATCACTCAAAGTACAATGTCTGTGAGTGCAAGCCTAACCTTGCTGGTTCTGGGAAGACGTTGCTGATTATCCAACAGGATACCGCGAAGTGCGCTAAGACTGAGGCCAACGGCGGCACCTGCAACTGGCCGGCATGCGGCTGTGCTGAGCCCCCGAAGAGCAAGTAAACGTGCATTCGCACGTCGCTGCTATCTTCCTCAGGTGTGTTCCTTCGTCAGTAGTGGTCATCCAGCTAAAATCTGACGCGACGTTTATGACAGTGGCACGCACTCGAGAAGTAGAGGTCTAATTCGCATCAGTCAGGGTGGTCTTCATGACTTCGTATAGGACTTATATATTCATCGAGAGGGGATCCTAGCAATGAACATCGATTCAGAGTGAACGAAATATGTCTGATTATATCAAGTTGCCCGTTGTGTGAAGCCTCGATGTGTTCGACGAACGGCACTGAAAGATAGCTGTCGGTTAAATCATATTATAGTGGTGGTAAATTGTTACTTTTAATGACTGCGATCACTGTGGAATCGTATTTTGGAGAGCGAGTAGACTCCAACTTGCGATAGCAGAAGCTCGAGGACAGAAATCTCGCCGTCATAGTTGATGTGATTAAGAACTGAGACGGTGCTTGTGATGGCTGCTCGTGACGTGACGATCTGTTATATGTTTTCTTAGACCGTCAATACTGTAGTGTTAATAACGCTCAGCATACCTGCCCACAATACTTATCATGAATATCTTGTGGATGGCTGACACGAACGACTTCAAACGAATCGGATAGTCAATGTGTTCGTCCATTGGGAATTTGATTGTGACTTAGCTGGGCGATATCGATTCTTGACAGTTCTGCGGCCCCACGAGACTCCAGTGGATGTGCTCCGGGCATGCAGCCTGGGCATTGTCTTACCTATTCACTCCCTGTGGACAGTTCTTGATTATCTTTCACAAGATCAACATCTCGCATCAGACATCTGCCTTCGGCAGCCCACATAAGAAAGGATAAAGTATGAGGGAGCCCAAGCACACTCTACGTCAGCGAATCCAGCCAATGAGCATAATGTGTTTTTCAAGATCCATGGCGGGTGACCAGACTTACAATCCGGTGTGTTGCGATTCGCGACGTACCCGACCAATGGAGCCATGCGCTTTATTTGCATGGTCATCTGCACACGTTCTCAGCCAATGCTCTGCTTTTGGGATGGCGCAGATCCTGCCATCCCGGTGGTATAAAGGAGGTACTCGATGAAAGCATTAGCCCCACTCTTCGACTACTCATCCACTCTACTCAAACTACAATGTCTGTGAGTACAACTGTGGCTCGGATGATTCAGTGAACATGTCACTCACGTATCTGTTCACGACAGGACACCGCGAAGTGCGCTAAGACCGAGGCCAACGGCGGCACCTGCAACTGGCCGGCATGCGGCTGCGCTGAGCCCCCCAAAAGCAAATAGGCGCAACCTTGCGCGCCGATGTTATGTGTCTTTCTGTGAGCAACTTGATCCTGACTGTCTGAGCCATGACACTGACGCCGATCCTCTCGACGCTAGTGGCACAAGCTCGAGGAGTGGGCTCCAGGCTTGGATCAGATTAATAGTCTTGATTGGTCCGGTGCATTCATTTATCGAGAGGGAGATCATAGCATTTTGTTGGGATTCCGATGCAGCAATCCAATGCATTCTCACATCTACCCTGAACGCATGTGGGCTCAGAAACTGTAACACGGAATGACCCTCCGATAAGCCTGAGCCGTAGAATAAGTGAAAACCTGCACGTACCATGTCAACACCATATTGAGCGCTGAGCACAATGTCATGCTACCGCTGCTTGGATTCCCCAATCATGTTGATAAGACTGTATCATCCGCACATGTACCTGCCAGCGATGCGATGTACATCCTACTCCGCCAATTGAGTGTGCTGTCGAGGCGCTGTCAGTGAGTTGGCTTCAAGTTCAAAAAGCGCGTGCATACCAGCCTCAGCTTCTTGTGAGCAACTTTTGAGCAACTTGAAGTCCGCGCCTAGATCGGTCAAGCTTCGGTCTTCGACTGGAAGCGGAATTGATGTACGCATGCAACGACGATGGCGATAGACGGTCTGATCATCCTCGACTTTGCTGGGTATGTTCCGACTTTCATGAACGAGAACAAGAACGAAGGGAGAGGCAGATGTGACTGACGAGAGCCTCCAAACAGACGTCCCATCATCCAGTCCGGATTCCGCTCAGCTGCGCCCGCCTATCCGCTTCTCCACATTGATGCCCTCAATAATGCTCTGTCTACCGCGGCACGCCCAGACGATGTGGACCCAGTCCTCTATGTGCCTAGCTTGAACATAGACAGTCCTAGTGCATGCTGCCATGCCAGAGTGGGGGACATGAGGTTCGTATGCCCAGTTAGCGGTGACAGTGAGTTCGGCTTTGTGCATCGCGGATCGCTACAGTCAGTGACCCGGGACTGTATCAGTCGATCCATTGTACGCCTTTGCTTTCCAGCAGACGTTTGTCGATATATTACGTGAATATTTTGGCCATATATCTGCGGAAACTTTGAAGGACAACTTTGACGTGGTCTATCAGGTCAGTATGTAATGTGCAAGTCACGAAGATTGTTGATTGACAATCACAAGCTTCTTGAGGAGACACTGGACTCCGGAGGGCATCCGCTTACAACATCGCAGAATGCCCTCCGAGACATTGTTCTACCTCCTTCCCTTCTCAACAAGGTGCTTTCTGTTGCAGGGGTTTCCGGCCTCGCGGCTCCATCGACCAATCCACAACCTTTTGCTTCACCTATACCTTGGAGAAAGGCTGGAGTACGTTATAACAATAACGAGATCTATTTCGACGTTGTAGAAACGTTGGACGCTATTGTAAACAAGTACGCCGGTCTATGTTCTGACCATCTGCTGCTTCAATGCTGATTATATGCATGTGTGGAAACTCTATTCTACCACAGAAATGGCATGCCAGTAGTAAGCAATGTCTGGGGTCGGGTGGAGTCGAATTGCAAGCTCTCAGGTCAGTTATTCCAAGAATTATAAAGGTGGGCTGGCTTTAAGAACAGCATTTCAAATAGGTACACCCGACCTGTTGCTAACGTTCAACAACTCGCATTCGCTGACAGATTGCTCCTTTCACCCATGTGTTCGGTGGGTTCATTGTTTATCCTTCTCAGATCCAACACCATCTTATTTAACGCAGTCTGCAACGGTGGGCGCGAGATAAGACGCTATCCTTCGTCCCTCCAGATGGCCGCTTCAATTTAATGGAATACCGATTCGCTCCTACTTCAGCGTCGTCGATGCATCAAGTAGCTGTCCCCCTAGCCCTTCGCTGTGTAATGACGCTTGAAGAACACGGTGGTAAGTCTAGATTCTGGGTTCCAACGGTAGTTACGCAAGCATGGCTTAAATCTATGAACCTCAGGCTCCTTCGACCTGACTTTAACTTCCCGACTCACCACACGCTCCATGGAGAATGTCACTGTTGAGTTATATTTAGGAGAGGGAGCATCTGGAGCAAGCTGTGTAGCATCACATAATGCGTCATGGAGTTTCGAGATGAAGACTTTGGTACGCCCGCGTTCCACTTAGCAATCCGTGTCGTTCCTGGATGGCGTTGCTGACGGTTCTGTCATTTCGTTGCAGAGCCTACGGTGGGAGTTGAAGGATGTCTCTCCGTCCGGTAGCTATACGCTACGAGGCTCGTTTACGTCGACGTAAGTCACTGCGCTGTGAGGAGTGACAACGATATCCTCACTTACGTTGCTGCAGCGCTGTGATACCACGGCTTTCGCGGGCATTCCGAGTCCATTTTGAAATTATGAAGCACAGTTTCTCGGCCTTAAAGATTGACCAGTTGAAGCTCACAGGAGAGCTGTACAAGCCTTACAAGGGTATGCGAGGGAAATCCGCTGGAAATCTTGAATGGCGGTGGTGATACAGTGACATTGCACACAAATCATGTATTTAAGACAGCCATTATACATTTTGAGGCCAGCTTTCCTACCATACGAAGCCTCACTCTTCCAGATTCTAGTGAATACGTAGTTGATGCACACATGCTGGATTAGCGAACTGAGGGGAGGTATTAAAGATGTACTTTTGATTCTATAAGTAATCATGAGTGACAACTAGCGTGGCAGCAATGCAATGTGGGTTGACTAGATGAATAGCAAAGAGTAGCGCATCAGCAGCGGTAGCCATCTTACCGCGGCGGGGCACTCGAAATAAATTTCTCATACGCCTGACCCACTCGACCCCAATCCAACACTGACCAGAATCGCTTCATGTATTCTTCCTTGCCCCAGACACCATACCCGGCGCTGACCCATGCGTGCTCGTGTACGGACACGCAAAAGAGGGGGTAGATAAACTCGCCAATTTGGGACCTCTTAGGCATGATCGTGTCCTCAGCATGCGAGAGGTTGCTAAAAAGGCCCGCAGGTCTTGGGGTGTATTCTTGGCCCACTTGCCCAGGTACCGTCGAGAATGCCCGTGACTGGCCTGGAGGGTGAAGCGGTGGCGGAGAAGAAGACAAGCCGGACGCTGGGGAAGATGGTGCAGAGGCGCCTGACGAATCAGGGGATGCAGTGGGTGTATTCGCCCGCATTTGGCTCAGTGACGGGGCGATGAGCTCGCCCACGACGGACGAATATCCGTAAAGAGCCGACCGCGAGCGGACAAGAAGCGTACCAACGCCGAAGGTCGGGTAGACGGCGAGGTTTCCGCGCTTGTCGCAGACAAGCCATACCCATCCGGAAGAGAACATCCCTAACACAGCTGCGCTGAAGTTGGATTTAAGCTGGTCCACACTGCCGAAATCCACTCGAATGCGAGCCTGAAGGCTCGATTTATTCAGCTCTTTATCGTGCGAGGGGGCATCTGATGGTGGTGGTTTCTGTATACGGTACAAGATGCATGCTCAGTGATTAGACAATAGGACTATGGGGATGGAAAGACGCACGAGGCACTCAAGGAAGAACGAGTTATTGAGAGCTTCGCAAGCATAGTTAAACTCTAGGACTGCCTTCGGATCCCTTGCAGCCTCAACAACAGTCTGTACGACGCTCTTTCCCTCCAGAACGGTGCCTTGAGCATTGTAAGATACCACGTCTACGACCGCATGGGTAGTCGTGTCAGCTCACCTCTAACCTGGTCGTTAAGCCTATCCAGCAAGCCCTGCTGGTAGTCCACTGCCACCATCTTCAAAGTCTCGGGTGGCAAGAAGTTGCCCATGCCTTCCTCAATGGCATAAGGCAGCGGTTTTCGTTCATGAATACATCGCGCAAGGATTCGACGACCAGGAGCACATGTTGACCTGAGACGCGCCGCACGCGACACCCCAGAAGCTAGCCGCAAGCCGAGAGATCTCATGTGTGCAGTATGTACTTGAGGCTGTTTGCGGACAGGATAGAGAGTCAACACCGGAGTGCGCGGTGGACAGCGAGTGCACCGTCACGACACCGACGCGAAACTTTTGGACGCGCCGGGGCGACTGCCAAATTTGGTAAACATACTTAGCTGTCACCTCCATCCCCTCCCAGCTGCAAGTTCCCTCCTGACAATGGCCGGCCCTAAAACAGCCCCTTCGGCGTCGCCTAACGCTGTCCAGTCTCTACTCAAGGCTTACAGGGAGACCACGTCCTCCCGTCTCAAGCTCATCGACTCCTTCCTATTGTTCCTCATGCTATCTGGGGTCATTCAGTTCATCTACTGCATCCTCGTCACAAACTTCCCGTTCAACGCGTTCCTTGCGGGGTAAGTGGTTTCACACAGGCCTAAGAGCATTACAAGAGGTGTTTCATTTTCTCGTTCAGCTTTGGAAGCTGCGTCGGACAATTTGTCTTGACGGCTTCACTACGATCCCAGGTCAACCCAGCAAACCGGTCGGAGTTTAAAGAGGTGTCTCCAGAGCGGTGAGCCACGACAGCTCTGCGACCAACGGTCGAATGGTGTTAATCTTCCTGTGTAGGGCCTTTGCAGACTTCGCCCTCGGTTCCATTGTCTTACACTTCTTTGTATACAACTTCCTCGGATGAGGGTGCCCGCACCCTGCGGCTGGACGTGGATACAACAGAGCGTATATCCTGGGAGTGTATTTGTACATGCTCATCCTATAAATACCCCAGAAACGACTCTTCGTGATACGGAAAGCTCGGACAGTACTACAGCGAGAACAGGAGGAAATATTACTAAAGGAACTAGTGAGGAACATAATGTCCGGAATAGTAACGTATGAGCTTCAGTCTCGTCTCCTCTCAAATGACGATGACCTCTGCGGCAAGATGAGCACTTGTGCATACATGAGACGTAATTGCCACGTACGCCGAAAATGACTACGGCAAAGTCAAAAACGTATTCCCCTATAAATTTCTCTTCAGATACGATAGGACCCTTTGTGCCCCCCGGTCACATACCGAATTCGAGATAAGACCGCAGGAGTTCTGGACCAGAGGAATTAGCAATAGTGTGACAAACTAAGGGTTCTAATCAAGCTTACGGCGGACGTCTTTGTTGGGAACATCCGACAACCGCGGTCTACAATTCCATTCAGGTTTCCATGTCGTCGGTATTGGAACGAACGCAATGGGGCAGAAACACGTACGTCAGACCCGTGGTACGCTTGATGCCTGCGAGAAAGGCGCTTAGGAGAAGAGCGTCGAAGCCAAGGTGGACGAGTGTGCCGAGCATTTTGAAAACAGGATAATAACGGTTGAGAGGTTGGTGAAGATCCCACGGAGATGGCAAGTTTGCAGCGCGACGTGCAAGAATGGACTGAGCCAAGACTGAACTCAGAGCAAAGTCGCAGAGGCACGGGTCGGCACGTGATTTTGGAGATGCCGATCGCGTCGAGGCGGAGTCCGGAGTCCGGAGGATCGGCACTTTATTCGCATTATTCCATCTACTAGAGACAGGTTTATTGAAATCCCACCTTTCATATCTATGCGACTTGATGCCTGCGTCGCGCCGTACCTCTCGAGCAAACTCAAGCATAAAGTCCAGCACGTCCGCTCATCGGTCTTCCACCGACAAGGAACGCATCCATACGGACGCCATACTCACCATAAAGCCTGCGTATGCCGCACTAATCCATAAACGCGAAAAGAATCACGAGTTCAGGTCGTACAAGCTGCGTCCGAGCGTGGAGAGGTTGTGGTTGTACGAATCCGCACCAGTGTGCGCTCTCAGGTGTGATGAATCATTCACACCCTGCCCTTCGTACTGATCAGCTTGCTGTCCTTGGTGCACCGTCACGCGGCATGTATGAATACAGGTATGTGGTAGAAACTACAGCACCAAAGACCCCTGGGGGCGTGCGGGACCCAACAGGTGTTGGGAACGACGCGTTTGACGCGGGCAAGATGTCACAGTACGCGTATCCGGTACGGACGTGTTATGAACTCAAGGCACCCATCACGCGGGATAATTTGAAGTCAAGGTACGGCATTACATCTCCGCGGGGCTTTTGTTATGCCAGCGAAGAAATGGTTCAGGCCTGTCCGGTAGATCAGATGAAGCAAGTCTATTGAACATGGGATTTATACGACGGACGACGGATATGCAGTGTCTATTTCGGGGAGCTACACGAGTTCAATTGCGTTAATGATGTTACAAAACATTACGGTGTCGCAGCAGAGCCTCAAGTGTTGCACTTGTTTTCTCCTTCTCATCTTTAATTATTTTAGAAAACTCTTTGAAATTCGGCCTGGAGGAGTCAACTATGAATCCGCCGCTCATTGAGTATATATACGTAAGAACGTGGTCGCGAAACATGCCTTGGAGCTGGAAAGCAATGCTTTCACTGGTGGTAATCTGTGCACCAGCTTGACGCATGCGCGCAAGCGCGAACGGCACTTCCTCCGCATTACAACTTGAAACGCCATCTGCAATGACGTGCACATCGTACCCGGCCTCAAGGAGATCGAGAGTTGATTGCAGGACGCACACGTGCGACTAGAATTTGAACTAATCAATGGCATTGAGCTCGTTGGTATGGTTTGCGCACTTGCCTCGATGCCAAACAGGACAACCGACTTGAAGTTACGTTCTTTGAGCAAGGATTTAACTTCAGGTGTCAGCATAGAGAAGAGCGTCTTCTCGATGGCGCCCAGATATAGCGGTCCGAGGGATTCGACGTCCAACTCTGGGACGGTCGAACCGAGGGCTAGGTAGGCATCAATAAAGGCTTCGTCTCGATCTTGTCTCAAGACATGATCGCACCTCGTGAATTCTGCTCCGTGAACACCACTGGAACATCGAGGACCTTCGCAGTAATGAATTTCAAATAGCGAACGAAACGAAGCAAAGTTGACCTTTGCAACCTTGAGCATCTTGCTTGCTGTCGAAATCACATCGCTAAAACCATGAATAGCTGCTCCTAGAAGGACATACTGTCAGTGATATTCGTTGCGACACAGGGGTGCGGATGAATTTATATAGATGATACGTACTGAAGCGAGTCTGCAGATCACAGACAAAGAAAACTGTCCTTCCTGGAACGACTTTAACAACTGCAGGGAGCGACATTACGTTTTTTATTCTAATGCTGGATGCTGAGGGAAGAGCCTGAGGATAGATAGTAGACGAAAACAGTAGCACCACTGTTCACGCCATGCCCGATGTCAACTGACATCGGACTTGCGGCGGAATCGGATAATATTCATGTCTCACATGCTATCAACCGAACCAAGTCGAATCGGAGCGCATCGAGATCGTCGACGGACCTCTCTCCTTTAATGTTGTATTCTACTCAATGTCCCTAAGCTCTGGCAACTTTTGTGACAAATTAGACCTACTTGTTCCTCTGAGTTATAATCGAAGTCGTGCTCACTCACCGTCTGTTTCCTTGGTGTATCTATGATATCGTGATTCGGTTCTTTACTTGCAAGAACTGATACTGATATTCTGGGTACTGGAGTGTACAAGTTGCACACTCGCCTAGTATGTGTGTTTGCTAACACATTCGTCCAAGCTAGACGATGCTTAGCAATAATTCTCCAGGATTTCCCCCCATAACCTTTGATTAGCATCTTGCAAGCAAGAGGGCGCGACAGAGCAAGTTTCCCATCTCCCTTGGTATGAGAGCCGACTCGGAGTTAGAGCATCACCGAGGATCGCAAGTATTTCACGAAACTGCTGACCATACTGCAGCGAAGGTATCAAGTAGATATGAATATACTTACCAGCTGCAGACTGCAGTCTACGGGAACTCCTCCCTGACACAGATTTTATACGATGATGAACGAGACTGGCAGCTACTACTGGCTTTGCAATGGCGCACGGGGTGTGACAGTAGTGGCACAGCAATGCGCATAATGGCGACGACGGTGAGGTAACGGATGGTGGTAGACAATGCGGGTGGCGTGTCTTCCACCGTTGATCGATATCGTCACCGACCAGAAAGCCCCTGGCGGACCACCTCTCCACAGCTGAATATTAAATATTTGAATGCTCCGCTCCGTTCACAAAACACGTCAGCGCGACTGCCCTACCTTAGAGATTCAGTAACATAATTCGACGTTGATGTGAACAAATAACTCGCGAGGTTTCAAATTCTCAATTGCCAATGGCGAGTGCGAATGACAACATACACAAGATAAAATTTCACCGTGCACTTTAGTCACCATCAGCTGCAATGTCAGAGAATCGCCATCTTGGGAACGCTCCATACAGGGTGACCACCGCGAGTAAAGGACTAATCCTCCTGCTACTCGCAAGCGAATGTCCTTGTAAAGCACACAATGTTAGACATGGACGTAACAAAGACATACTAATTCATACCCCAGGCATACTGAGACTGGACAACGCCAGCACAGGAAAACATCAAACATCAAACATCGAAGATACAAAAGTACAAGCACGATGATGCACATCACAATATAGTCCGTGAATGGCGCTCGTGGCCGAAACGGGGCTTCAAGCTCCAATATTTTAGGGACAACAGTGAGTGATGAGAAAGGAGCAGGGAAATTGTTTTGGAATCATGAACATAAAGAGGGAGGAAGAGGGGGTTGTGATATAAAAATGGGATGATGGGGAGGCATGAGCGTTCGATGCAAAGGAGACAGCAAAAGCAAGACAACCGCGAATAGGATCCTAGAGCCCGAGATTTGATACACTAAAATCGCACGTATAAGTATTAACGAGACGAGAAGACATATCTGAATACGCACCTTACTCACGTGCGGGACATTCCGTGCTAAGGCCTTCCGGTATTGACTGAGGGAACACCTCGGCGTTTTGACCTATTTTCTTCTTCCATGCGTATCTTCAATTTCTCCAGCTGCTTCTCGCGCTGAACGTAAGTCCTTTCTGTCGGCCGAACGTCCACTAGCCGGGGAGCAGGAGGGTTCACAAATGAGGAGGTTGACCTCATGTGATCATGAACGGAGGCATCGCTTACGGAACTTGAATTACTGGAGCTCTCTGGAATGAAACACAGAGCAGCGGCAGCAGCGGCCGTAGCAGATGCTTTTGATCGTGGCGACCAAGGAAGAGATGGCATGAAGTTCGTCAAAGTTTGGAATGAAAGTCGCGCAGCAAGCGTGGGAGACATGGGCGTAGGTGAAGTGGGAGGGGCGGAGGACTGGGCAGAGTCAGAAAATGCAGAAAAGCCACCTGCAGAAACGGGGGAGACGTCAGAGTTCATTGACGAAGGCGAATGAGGAAGGGTTGGTGTGACGGCGCGGGGGGACCTAGAGGAAGATCTCGATGTGTTGGCTATGAAGCGCAGGACAGAAGATGATCAGATACACATACTAGCAAGAGGGCTGGAGAGAGGCCTACTAATGGGGCTCATGACGGGGATAGCGGAAGGCTTGCACGCTGCCGGCGATGTCACGCGCCGAGGTTGCGGGATGAATGAGGTGCCCTTGACGTTGGGAGGGCTAGGAGACTTGAGCGAAGAGCCATGAAGTTGAGGAATAAGGGTAGGGGAAGTACCTCCGCGCTTGGTGGGAGGCGTCATGTAGGCGGAAGGAATGTTTGTGTTGCGAGGCGCAAGAGCCGGTGAAGCCTTGGTGGGAGTGGAAGCGAGACTAGGAACTGGCTTCCGTGCGGGAGAGCGCCGGGGGATAGACGAAGGCGATGGGGTGCTCGGCTCTGGTCGAGACTGGGGGAATGTAAACGAACTGTCTTCCTCATCATCGACGGGCTCAAAAGCTGGAGGCGAAAGTTTCTTCCGGGGAGTTTGTGTGCTGTCGCTCAACCCAATGTTGTCCTGGTATTCAGGCGGAATGGTGAACGTAAACTTGATCCCGCCCTCATCGACTTCGCCGACAAATTCCTCCGCAGGATCCAAAATACCATTGTCATCATCATCATCATCTTCTTCTTCCTCCTCAGCAACCACATCAAGGACATGTTTAGGCTCTTTCCCCATCTCAGGAGATGCCACCTCAATACCAACATCAGCCGGGAGAACAAACGGCGGGAGCTCATCATCATCATCATCAGCGAAGCCCTGAGCGAACAAGTTCTTGCTGCTCTCAAGAGAGCGCAGCCTGGAATGTGTCGGCGGAGAATTGTCGATGCCCTCCAAGCAGTCGAAGAAGTGATCGATATCTTCAAGTCGCCCAGAGAGTTCACTCGGCTCGCCGCCAGCAGGGAAAGTCCAGGCCTTCGACAACGATGCCCTACGTGCATGAGAAATCTTATCTACGGGAGAGGGTAGTGGGGTTGGAGACGAGGTGCCCGAGCGAGTCAACGGAGGCGCTGGCTGTTCCGCACGAACCGAGGGAGTACGAATCCGATCGCCTTCAGAACTAATCGATGAGCCGGACATGGAAGGGAATATGTCTGCGTCGCCTTCTTCTTCATCTTCAAATCTAGCTAACTCGTCTTCCTCAGAGAAGTTGGACAAAGTCTCTTCATCCTCCTCTGCGACTGCCTTAAGCCCAAACTCGTGCTTGTCTCTCGGGCTATCCACGGATTCCACGTCGGTGAACGAGCTCTCTGAATCGATAGACTGGAAACCGAGGCCCCGAGCCTTAGCGAACATCATCGTCCTTGATATCGTCGCCGATTTTTGGTTGAAGTCGACGTCAAATGCACGGGGTGTATCCAAAAGCCCAGCATGCTCTAGATCATGTTCAAGCTTCTGATTCTTCTCGGTCTCTGCCTCTAGCAACGCCTTAAGCCTCGCACATTCCTCTTGCACACTTTGCATCTTCTCGACTTCGGCCTTGAGCCTTGTGCACTCCTCTCCGGTACTTTCGGCGTCAGCACGCGCCCGCTCGAGCTTAACTTGGAAGTCCTTGACCTCATCAGCCTTCTCACTGAGCGCATTTTCCAGCGTGCTCTTTTCCACCTCCAACAGACCAACGCGTTGCCGCGCGACCCAAGCTTCACGTCGTTCGCCATCAACACGCTTGGCAAGGATATCAACCTGGTGTTCTAGGTCGCCCACACGTACGCGCCACCCGTCCACGTCTCTCTTGAGCTCATCCCGTTCAGCCTTGAGATCGGCAATGAGTTGCAACATCTCATCGCTCGGTTCGCTCAACGCAGATACTGCAGACATGGCGGAAGCGTCAGATGCGCCAGAGGCAGGGCGCGACCATGAGCGGCTGGAACGCGAGGACAAAGCGCGCTCGAGATCCGTGATGCGTTGTACAAGCGTGGCATGCGCTTGAAAAAGAAAAAACTGTTCGCTCGTCGAAAGTGGCCGGGACGGGTTTGGAAGGGCTTGGTCAAGTGGCTCAATTGCCGTGCGCTCTGTGGTCGGGGTCATCTCCGGCGTGGGCAGCCCAATCACGGACTGCGGAGGGGTGTCCGCCGAGCATACGTAGGAAATGCTACTGCGGCGTGACAGAAAGGACTGTTGTTGAGGCGGTGTCTGTTGCTCCAGGTTCAAGGATGGTCGGTGCGCCGAGGTACTAGACAGCGGCGAAGGAGATGGTGTGGTGATAAGCGATTGCCGCCTGTTCGCTGTATTACCCAGCGTAAGAGATCGCAAGCCGGGCCGTGCACTGGGGCTAGGCGTCAAAACAGGAGTGGGAAGGTCGTTGTTTGTTGCTTGGATAACACTTGCAGATACGAGTGACAATGGCCGCAAATTCAAGGTCGCAGGTCGACGCCGTGAAGGAGCAGGTGAGTGTGAAGTGATCATGACCTCCACTGGGTCCAGCGTCTGCATATTGTCCTCCTCCTCCTCCTCTTCCAGGAGGGTGTGCAATTGGTCCTTTGATGATACAGATGCCATGAACTTGCTCAGTGAGTCTCGCTTGCTGCCGATGCCAGGCGGGAATGAAGGCTTGCTCGCTTATAACGATATGAGTTGGATATCATTGTTATCAGTTATCATTACTCACGGAACTCAAATGGCCGCTTGGGCGCAGATGCTGCCTCGACCGCATCAAACTCAGGGATCTCAACCTTGGAGAACGAGCCAACGTCCGTTTTGCCTTCCAGTGTCCACAGAGCACGACGACGGAGGGAGTCTTTGTCACCCAGGTTGATGTTATCGTCCGACGAAGACGGAGGGACGCTGGGTAAAGAGACGCCCATCATATCTGCGGACTCACGACGAGTGGAGACAGAAGAGCGACGACGATGGTGTGAGTTGCGCTTGGACGCGCCGAGGGAGGAGCGGGAAGATGACGATGGAAACTCGTCGATTGTCGTCACCGAAGAAGCTGTATTGGGCGGAGTGGGGGTAACTACAGGAACAGATACGGAAGTATTGCGAGAGTGAGAACGCGCGTGGCTGGGCCTCGGGCCGTGGTTATTCATGGATGGGGGAGCCTTGCCTAGCCTGAAGGAGTCCATCTAGGTAACATGTCAGGGACGATAAGCTGTGGCGATGGCAAGCACATACTCTCATCCTGTCGGCGAGAACGCCCTCCTCTGCGTTGGGAACGACTGCGGGATATTGGTCCATTGCGTAGAATGTTGTGGCAGGATGCTACAGAAGAGAGTGTGGGGGTTGTAAAAGAACGTAAGTGGAAACGAAGGACAGGACCAAAAGGGCGAGGAGGCCGTGAACACAGAGCGAGGGGGATGAGATGGCGGCCTGAGCAGAGACAGCAAATCCAACATCGCCCAAATAGCCACCTCCCTCGGCAAACTCCGAGCTTCCTCCATCAACGTCCACATGGACACTCCCGCCGCCCCTCTCAGTGTCACTCACTGGCTCGCAGCGGCTCACTCTGCATTCTGCGAATCGAAACCGCTGTGTAATCAACTAGTCTTTACACTCCCAGTGCTGTCTTCGCGCATAGAATCAACGCTCTGCTTTCATAGATCTCGCAGCACGTTTCATACATATTTCGATGCAGCTGTTCATCATGACCCTTCCCCTTCTTTACTTCTGCCCCGTGGGTCCGTAGGCGTATGAATAGCACCCAATCTGGTCGTCTCCACTCTACCTCCCTGACAACGGCTCAAATGATCATTCCAGCCATAATGGAATGTGGACAGATCCGGTTCCTTATATCGAGTTCACCGAGACCATGGGATCACAGCCGAGTATCTCTTCAGTACTACCGTCCTTAGGCTTACATACAAACAATCCTCGTACCCTCCGCACAACCGAATAATATTAATATGAGCGTCGCCATCGGAGCGCCTGCCACATGTCCCCAGGACATGGCTCCTGTTCTCCGAAGCGTCATATGCCGGCACCTACCAGTCTGAACTCGTAATGTATACATGTGTGTCTAAGAGTGCATGGTCCATTCGCTGAGCTCCGTCGGGTCATAACGTCCTGAATAAAAACCGTGCATATTATACAGAAAGCATAGTGATAAGTCGTCAAAATAAACCGGAGCAGATCAGGAAGAGATCATGGCTGCACCCCAACACGCGCAGAATACCAGTCAATGTATCTGTCCTCCTCATAATACGATCCCAAAGAACATCTTGCCCAAGAATTAAGGAGGCGCATCGGTAGGATCCAGTTGCCTACTTGGCGCCTCCGACTGGTTCATCGCGCTCAGAAGCTGCGCCCACTCCCCTAGACCCAATCCGACTGAGCCGTGCCACAGCGTGCTCTCGTCCAGAGGAGCATACATAGCTGACCCATCGATCGCCGACCCCTGCACGTGCTGTGGATGTGATAGAGACTGCTGCATCATGTTCACCCCCTGCTGAGTATATGCGCTCATCCCCGACTGATACGGTATGGGCTGCGTCAATGGGCCGGGCAGCCGCTGCAGACGAGACATCAATACTGGTGTCCGTCTCAGCGACTGCTGTGTCGCTGCTGCTGATTGTGGCGGAAATAGAACGTGCCCAAGGCCAGGTCCGTGGACGGGCACTTGGTCGGCCATGGCCATTAGGACGGGGGTAGGCTGTGAGGACGAGAAGTGAGAATAGTGCCCCATTTGCGGAAAAGACTGTGCAGGCACCCAGCGTATGGAGGAAGATGAGGGGCGTTCTACCCCTGGTGTGACTGGATTTGGTGTATCCAGCCCCGAGCCCACCACGGGCACACCCGACCTCAAGATCCCTTGCGCCACCGAAGTGTCTGCATCTTGTGCACGAGATGATTCTTGCCATGGAAATGCGAGCTGCGCAACGGCCTTTAATACTGCCTCCTTCTCATCCTCCCGCTCCTCCAAAGATTTTGTTGCCCACTGATCCGAATATAATGGCTTCAAGGCAAGTAAAAGCGCAAGCGCACTCTCCACGAGGGGTAGCCTCCTGGATCTCTCAAGGAGATCAATAGACCGAGTGACTTGTTCCCTGAACAAGCCTGAGCCTGGTTGGTCTGGATTTGTGACAAGCTGAAACGAAAAGAACATGGCGGCTGCGAAAACATGGAAGGGTCCCCAGATTAGATGCCCGTGGACCTCGGGAGCGGAACATGCATTCGAAAAGAGGTTGATAAGACTGGATGCAGAGCTGACAGCGATTTCCAAACTTTCTTGAACCTGGATGTAGGGCCGATGCATGGCAAAGCGGACATGGTAGTACATGCTACGTTCAACGACACTCTGTACGGCGGCGCGCCGAGCTGACTCGTCCAGACTTCCCAGTTCGCGCACGAGCGCGAAGCCTTCCAGACAGAGTTCAGGCGGAAGAGAGTCGTACCAGCTTGTGAGGAGCTGGTCTTTCTCCTGAATGGAAGAATAAGATACTGAGCGAAAGGATACGGCGTCGTCCATGATCTCGCCGAGCACGTATGCAAGGCGGAAAAAGGCAAGGCTCGCGATGTATCGCCGCCCCGACTCATCGACCTCCGAGTCGCATTGTGTAGGGAGTTGGGTATCAAAATGATGTGTGGCGATGTGTAGTGGGCGACCGAACATGAACGCTTGCCAGCGTTCAAAGAGAATTATGTGCCACCAGGCCCAGCGCCTGCGCTCCGCGACGCTGCTGCCAACGTCGATATTTGCTGGATCTCGGTGCAATCCCATAGCAGTGGCAATGCTGACGAGCTCGCCTCCTAGACTCCAGATCTCCTCCGGATCGTCTCTGCAAAATGCTAAGAGATGTGTCTCTGCGAGTAGGAGCTCTACAAATGGAAGCGTGTACATTCGTGCTGGGGATTCCGATTCTTCTCGATATCGCTTGAGAGCCACGCGCATGACACCATGGTATCTCCTCGCATGTTCATCTATAGGTCCGGGGAGCCCGTTCAACAAAGCATGCCCAGGAGGCAGATAGTAAATCGCAAGACAGATGATGACACATACGGTCCCAAGGATGAGTCGGTCGCTTCCCTGGCCGGCCTTGTAGTGTGCCCACCCAGCGAGGAGAGCAGTTTCATCAACATGACGGTATATCCAATTGCAGTATTTGAAGTAATATGCTATCAATCCGTCAACAACCTCTACCGGAGGAAGGAAGGCAATCAAGTCGTCGTCGTAGACGGTGGAGTGAGAAGGTTCAGAGGATGATGGATCATTGGTATCCTCGTCCAGAGTGCCATCGGCCTGATCAGGGCCCAATTCCGTCTCACCGATGAACATCGAGACGTCGTCATCTGAAGTCTACTAAACGGTTGGTCAAAGCAATCAATCATGAGACGTAAACACATACCGAGAACAGCATCGAGACCGGGCTAGTCGGTCCAACATAGAGTCCCGTGCTCCCTCGTCGGCCCAACTTTCCTGGTCGAGTATCGGGCTCCGAGTCAGGCGGCTTCCGATCAACGAGAGTGGCATCTGACGAGTCGCTTGCCCGGTGACCAATAAGGCTGTCAATGGAAGGGCGGGAGGAAGACACGAGCAAACCAGTGAGCGGAGCTCGCAGCGATGTAGGGGTTTGTCGGGTAAAATTTGGTCTCGAGCCTGCACTGTCTTTCATATGGGCCTCGAGCAAGGTAAGAGATTGACGGATGCGTGAGATCTCTGCGAAGACATCGATGGAACGGCTGCAGCCATAATGTCGACGGGACCGAATAAATGATTAGCGTGTGTGTGCTTAAGCAGACACATGCATACCGGCTTTCATCATTTTGGGGAGGGTCGTTGTCTTGACCTTGGTAGCATAGGGCCGTCGTGCCTTTTGTAGTTCAACATGAGTGAACACCTGACATAACCCGAGCTGGATGACTAACCTCTCAATACGCAGGAAGAGCATGGACGACTCCTGCACCGCCCACGGAGAGCGAGGAGATTAGTGCACGTCGATCGGGGAACACGGGCGGGGGCGGAACGAACCTATCACATTTGAGTTTGCTACTTCTACACGGCTCACAGTTTATCGCCTTTCGCGATCGCTTGGGAGGGGGTTGGCGAATCTCCGAGACGACGCCTTCGCTGTCCTCCACGGCGCGAGTCGGCGGGCTCGGAGAGTGCGGACGGCCCTGTTTGCGCCGAATGGAGAGCCTGAGGTCTGTGCTAACAACAATATCTTTCGAGGCCATTCAGCGGGTGACGGTGGTGTGGGTTCAAGGGTACAGCGGGGGTCTGAATGGGAAGGGCGAGGGAGTGCCGCACATAGGATGGGCCGAGGCGACAACAGACTCCAGTCAAGTGCTCAGCTCCAAACGTTATGTTCTTCCTTGAAACTGCGCTCCAAAAGGGTGCAGCAAATTCGGCGATATCTCAGCGGCTCTCCGTATGTTATTGCAAGGCTGGCTGCGAGAGGAATGATGGCTGTCCAGAGTGAAGCCCCGCGCAATGCGCATTGTAATACGTACTTCTCGAACGGGCAAGATCTAGACTTATCGGGACGATGCGTTGGAATTATTTTGATGGTTAGCAAATCACGAGAATTCTATTATGTCCGCTGCGTCATGATTACGGTGCATCCCCTGCCTGCACGTCGTTAAATCACTTGGAGGTTATACCTCCCGTGTTCGTTCAAGCTCCTCGAATATCCTCAGTGTCTTCGCATATTTACCATTCACTTTTGTACACGCCAGCAGCTGTATAACATTTCAAGCCGAAGCGTGGCCGTGAGCAGCTCTCTCTACTTTGGGGCATCATAATCCCCTGGGGCTGCCCTCTGACAATGGGGTACGTCGCTAAGTATGGGTGCGTGCATTTGCATCAAAAGGTGCCAACTGGCGGTGTGAACGGCCAAGCCTAGAAGGCCCAGAGCCTAGCCTGCTAATCGCCTTACTCAAAGTAGTAGCATGATGTCAGTGCTTATAGTCAAGCAGAACCAAACACCAGCCGGCTTGCGCAAAATTTGCCAATATTAACGACGGGTAAGTATATGTTACACTTTTATTCGTCTATCAGATAAGATGAGATAACAGCGACGTAGGACCTCACTCAGTCCGAAGGGAATCTTCTCGAATCTTCAAGGATACAAGGTGATTCAATCATAAAGTGAGAGCCTCTCCTTTTGCTCTCTATCCCATTGTATACCATAACGTCTGTTCCTACCATGGCCGACGCACTGAAAGACCAAGGAAACAAGGCCTTCCAGGCAAAAGACTACGACAAAGCTATCGACCTCTTTTCTCGGGCAATCGCCATTGACCCGAGCAACTACGTGCTCTTCTCAAATCGTAGTGCTGCGAAGGCCGGAAAGCGGCAGTGGGCAGCAGCGTTCGAGGATGCTGAGCAGGTGCGGTAGGGTTTCTTCAGGTATATGCATTTTCACTACTGAATGCCACTCCACAGTGTATTAAGATCAACCCAACCTGGTCAAAGGGCTATGCGCGCAAGGGCGCTGCGCTGCATGGCCAGCGAAGTTATGATCAAGCCATTGCCGCCTATGAAGCCGGTCTTAAACTTGAAGACAGCCCTGCGTTAAGGAAGGGTCTAAAGGAAGTACAGGATGCCAAAGGTAAGCGTGCAGCCATGTCAAGTTAATACGCTGATCCCAACACGTAGCCATATTTAGCTGCAGACGAGCGAGGTGGAGATGGTGCAGACGCTCTCGGGCTCGGGAAGCTTTTCGGGGATCCCAATCTCATTGGCAAGCTAGCCGCGAGTCCGCGCACACAAAAGCATCTCGCCGATCCATCGTTCGTCCAGCAGCTGCAATTCATTCAAAAGAATCCCGGCCTTGCACAGAGCGCGCTGCAGGACCCGCGCATGATTGACGTCCTTGGTGTGCTCATGGGCATTGATATGCAGGGCTTCACTAGAGAGGAAGGCTCGGATGAGCTTCCTCCAGGCTTGAAAAAGGCTGATGCTGAGCCATCTCAAGCTGCATCGCCACCACCCACTGCTTCGTCAAATCCAGCCCCGAAATCGCCACCTCCGGCAGCGGCGAAGGAACAAAATGTAGAAATGGAGGAGGAAGATGACGAGGCCGCTAAGGCGAGGAAGGATGCTGAGACAGAGAAGAAGCTTGGCGCGGACGCCTACAGGGCTCGTAATCTCGAGGAGGCAGCGACTCATTTCCAGAGGGCATGGGACATATATCCGCAGGATATCACTTTCCTTACAAATCTTGCCGGTGCGTCATTCAGATACTCGATCTCCTTAATCCTCTCTAAGCTTTGATATAGCCGTATATTTCGAGCAAGGTGAATTTGATAAATGTATCGAGGCGTGCGAGAAGGCAGTCGACGAAGGGCGATCGGTAAGTCGTCATTCTTGGTGATCAGCACTACCAATAGGTGACCGGTGATCCACCACGCAGCTTCGCGCAGACTACAAGCTCGTTGCGAAAGCCCTTGGACGTATAGGAAATGCGTACAGCCGCAAAGGCGACCTGGAGACCGCGATTAAGTTTTTTAATAAATCACTGACGGAGCATCGCACTCCCGACATTCTCACGAAGTTACGTGAGAGTGAGCGCGCTCTGGCCGAAGCACAGCGTAAAGCGTACATTGATCCAGAGAAGGCCTCAGAGGCGCGCGAGGAGGGTAACGCGTTGTTCAAGTCGGGCGACTTTGTTGGTGCAGTGAAGGCATACACCGAGGCGATCAAGCGCGACCCTAACGACCCGCGCGGATACAACAACCGCGCGAACGCCTATACGAAGCTTGTCGCGCTGCCCGAGGCGCTCAAGGACGCGGAGGAGGCGATTCGTATCGACCCTAAGTTTGTGAAGGCGTACATCCGCAAAAGTCATGTGCTGTACGCGATGCGCGACTACACGAAAGCGATCGAAGCTGTGCAGCAGGCGACGGATGTCGACACTGAGAAGAAGCATGGAAAGGAGATCCAGGACCAGGTACTCAAGTGCCAGCAGGAACTGTTCAGCCAGCGTACAGATGAGAGCGATGAAGAAACTCTTCAGCGTGCTATGCGTGATCCGGAAATTGCGGTAAGTAGCCAGCTTACTTATGATTTTCACACAGACGTTGAACGTGCCTCTGATTTCATAGAGTATCATGAGCGATCCTATTATGCAGTCGATCCTCCAGCAGTCACAGTCGAATCCCGCGGCACTTCAAGACCATATGAAAAACCCTACGGTTCGCACCAATATCATGAAGCTCATTAATGCAGGGATTATCAAGACACGCTGAGGGGTCCTGCGGCAGGCGTGGACGGTTGTTGGTGTCTGGGACACGGACGGGTTTATGAAGTTCAGCATATATTTTGGTGTACAATCACTGTATCTATACTACTCTGCATTGCCAATTTAACAAGCTATTCACAGCAGATCTGAAGGGGGAGAAGCCCATGACCAGTTGACGAAATCGCTAAAAACCTTCGAGACCTCTTTTTCCTGTACAACTCGTGCATTATCATTCTTTCCCTCTTTGATCGCGCGCCACACTTGTATATTCTCGTGGACCTCACGAGGGTTGCTTAGACCAACGACCACGGGCATGCTCATGCGGGATGCTGTCCTGTATCCATATCCGATCGCCACATTGGGTAATCCCCCTTCCCATTCTCCACATACGACGTTTGCCTGCTTCACTGCCTTGAGGAGTTCAGGAGGAGCAGGATGCCACTTAGGCGGTGTGGGCGTCAATAGCCCCATGCAGAGAGGGGATGCCGTGAGCAACTGCGAAACGCGAGCACGCTCACGGAAGAGAGGGACGAACGCGGTGAACGCGTCATTTTGCAGTGTCGAATGACAATAAGACAGGAGCACGTCAAGCGGCTTGTAGGGGGGAGTGTGTAACACGAGGAGCGCGAGACGCAGCAGGGTCGGGAGGGGATATCCTAATCGACGGATTAGCGCCACCGACGGCAGCTAGCAATAACGCGGACCTACCAGTGATCCCGATAGACTTGACAATCCCCTCGTCCTTCATCTTCTGCAACTCAGCGAGCGCGCCCAAGATCCGCTGATCACCTTCTCCCCACACTTTCCCTTCATCTCCCTCGACGAGCCCGTACTCCGCCTTGCCCTCGCCGAGGGCAACCATAGAGCTACCGGCTTCGCGTGGACCGACTTGTGTTGCAACGTACTCGACATCATGCAAATACACGGTGTCCAGGTATGTGGTATGCAGGCGGGACATACTACGCTCGACGCTGGCGCGAATGGTGGCGGGGGAATAGTCGAAGTCTGCTCTGGTACGTCCGTAGCGGCCCACCTTTGTCATCTGAGATCAAATGAACGGGCTGCTCGGCGATCATGAGAACAGCACAGAGATCAGACTTAACCTACCAGTTTGTATGAAGAGCGCGGGAAGTCGAGCTCAAGGGCCTTTAGCGCAGTGCCAAGCACAAGTTCCGATTCGCCATAATAGGGAGACGTGTCAAACGTCGTAATACCATACCTGCAATGGACGCACTCGTGCGGAACGGATCACGCATGTACGGTCTCATATACAGTACGTACCGTAGGGCCAGGCGTACTGTGCGAACCGGCACAAAACCAAGCAAGTGGCTTTCCTTGTTGTAAATCGTCGAGAGTGCCGCTGCACCTAGCACGATCTCGGGCAGTTCCAAAGGGCCTATGAGGCTCTGAACATCACTGATTCAGGTGTAGAATCCGATGCGACTGATGTGGCCTTACCGGCGGAACTCCAGGAGTGGGAACATCCTCCTCCTCATCCGGGATATCAAAAGATGGAAGAGAATACACGGGCTGAGGGGAGTCTAGACGTATTACCATCGTGTGGATAAAAGAAATGAGTAGTAGGTTGAAGATCAGATGTGGTCGAAGTGCAAGACGGTGTCATTCGAGGCCGAAGTTGAGCGTCACATAGGGGCAAGATCACACGTCACGCGTCTTATTCGGAAGAGTTGATCAGGTCAATGGCTGCGACGACTGTTATAGTGCACAAAAAGCTTGCGGGACAAGGCCCGTAAGAGGCTATGGAGACAAAATGGAAAAATCATAGCTTCCTACGCTCCCACCTGGACAACACGCCAATATCAGCCGGCGCTCTAGACAGGGCGGAGACAACACGCACCCCTTCTCAAATTGGTGGTTGACTGCTAGAAGCTTGATGTTCTCATTTTGCTTGACATCGTTCCACGGGGTCGGGTTTTCCTTTGTCCAGACGACTGGAAGGAAGCAGCAGACGTCAGTCACGATTTGTGCCCTCACTCGTGGAGCACTCACCGGTAGGTCCCCGTGCGAGCCGGGTCAGATACCAACCACATCCTACGACGGCCAGTCCAACAACAGCAAAACTGATTCCAGATTCAATCAACTAGAAGTGGAAGACATGCTATGCTCTCACATGGGGGTAGCCTGACCGGAAAATGGTGGTCAGAGGACCATGCCCCAGATTAAGCGAGACTATAGGCATACCTCTATGGCATACCAGTTCTTCATGAACGACTTCCTGAACGGCGACATGATGGAAACAAACGGGACAACAATGCGGTGGTAGTTCTGAGCAGCGTGCGGGTCGCTTCCGACGCTCACCGCACAAGGTTCCCACGGGGGAACGGCAGCCGCACGTGCCCGAGTCCAGTCAAGCCCAGCCCATCACATTCAGTCTATCCATCGTCACGATTGACTTCAAAAGCTCATCTTTTATGTATTCGACGCAGTATACAACATTCCGTTTGGGCAGTGATCGCAAGAAATGCGGCTTACACGTTTTGCGGAGTCTATTGTTCATGGTTCCTAACCAATATGAAGCTCTAACCATTGGTCACCGTGAAGCCTGACTGAATTTCTGTGCCCCTTTGATGCGGCTCGCAATCTCTTCGCGCACTTCTTTGCGCAAAATTTCTTCACGCGAAGTCAGTCCTTCTTGTGAGTCAGCCGCCAACAAGACCTGATCAATTAGGGTATACGGCAGCCAGGTCGCCGACGCTGTTTTGGGCTGTTCCTGGACCATACGTTCATTGCTCTACAAAATTCAAGGGTGCTCAGAACGATCTCACTGAAGAAAAGGAAATATGCTATTCGCTTACCCATCGCATAAACGATAACGTATGGTCCAAAGCGTATTCCAGATTGTCGTACCGTAAACACGTACGTATCAAGTATTCTGGATGTTGTGCCTGAAGACAAACGTCATGGATGGTCTCGCGAATTCGATGAATTGGATACCTACTTCTAGCGATTGAATCAACCATGGTGGAGGCGGTGATGATCGGTCGAAACCCAATATAGTCTCCAATGCTATTTTACTGTACTTATAATCTGTTTCAGCCCCGTCATGGCGCTCCAGAGACTGCCGCAGATAACGCCAGCCCCTATTGACGGGCGTACCAGGCCATGAGGATACCTTGTCTGTGAGGAGCCAGTCAGATGTGTCTTCGGCTCTGATTAAATAAAGTCAGTGAGTAAATCTCGCAGAGTAAGAATGTAGTCACATCACGACATCAGGATTATGGGAGAGGCGGAGGCATTGGGTAGTTAGACGTCCAAATAAGTCGGTCATGTCGACATCAAGACTACGAGCAGTGGACATGGCCATGTCGAAAAGGTTGACTTGGGTTAGACGCGATACTATCGAGGAAGGTGATAGTAGCAGCACTGAAAGCCTCGCCGTTAGAGAATCGAAGGTGTCAGCTTCAATTATAACTGACCTCCACCCGTCAACAACGTGGGGTCTCGCCGGATCAATTCAAGACGAGCAGACAGCAGCGAATACTCGTACTGCATATCTGCCAGCTCAACAATTTCTGCGTCCCGCTTTCCTACGGTATATTTATCTTCTGGAATATGTCGGGAAAGCTTTCGCCGTTTGCGGGGCTAATTTCGTCTAGTGAGGGATATGAATAATGGGATAAAGAATAACCGCTGACCTCATGTTCGGTCTCTGCCGTGACGGGGAGCACAATCCAGGCGCTCTTCTGATCGGTGAGGGCGAGAGCATTCATGCTGGTCACATAAGCCTCGAGCTGTAATTCAGTTAGACTCGTAAAGTTTGAAGGGTCGCCGATCAAATTCGCCAATTTGCGGGCGCGCTGATACATAGTGAGTGCAGCTGTGAATATGGACCCTTGTTGAGACGCCTGCGAGCTCCGAGAGCGGAGATGACTTCGCTCACCGTTCCGATAGTCCCCCCTAGAAACGTGCCACGAGTATAAAATTCGAGAGTAGAACGGGCGAATCCGGGGGTCTGCGTTCCGCGCCTTGAACGACAATGCATCCTCCACCTCATCAGCTAGCCCGGCAAAGTTGAAAGACATGAGCCGTTCGACTGCATTTTCTTCACACATACGATATACAAGTTGGCTAATGCATTCGCGTTTCCTGACAAACCATCAGTCGAAGAACATGGAAGGGAGGGTTGGTGAAAGGCATCGACGCACAGCCTGTTGTACGGCGTGGATACCAGGGCTGCATAGGCATCTTCGTAAAGGCCCAAGTCCGTGAGGCCTCGTATGATTACATGCCATAAGGTCGTCGTGTCAACGTCAGGTGGTGCTACAGAGACCGCACGCTGGGTGAAGAAGACTTCTTGAGAGACTGCCCCCACCGTCTTGGACAAACTTGCAGCATGGAGGTAATAGTCGAACTCGGAATTGAAAAGTTGTCCGCCAGGCAGGATGGACGCCAATGCTTTCTCATCATCCTCGATGAGAACATCCTGGAGACCTATATAAACCACCAATTAGTCATTTCAATAGCTCCACATGTAAAGTCATGTAAAATGTGACCGACCAAAGCTCCCTGCTACACTCCCCAAGGCCGACGCCGCATCGTCATATCGACCCTCATCGAGCCAAAGACGTCCTAGAATGTAAGTAACACCTGGAGCCCTTGGAAGCCACGCGAGCATTTCTCGCGCAGCCTCGCGGTAGCCAAGCAAGCGCAAATTTTCGCAGAATTGCACCTCAACCTGCGTAGCGCGCGCGGCAGATGTCGACTGCAATAGTCCTGAGACATCCAAAAACTTCTGAGCGGATGCAGGGAGAGGATCCGTACCGATGCCGTATTGGACTACCAATCTGTGGATGAGAGAATGTAAAGGAAAAATGCCGGAGCGCCCGTTGGAGACTTGCATGTTGCGCATCTGAGATACGACTTCGTCCTCGCCGGCGGAGGCAGAAGCATCCAAAGAAGGTGTGATAGTGTCGCCCGCAGGTTGCCGCACCACATAACGTAACATAGCCACCCCACGGAAGACGGCGGATATTTCTGCAAGTAGATTTGGATTCCACAGCGGGAGCTCATCCGCCAGGAAGAATAGTAGTGTCATGAGGGATAGGCATAGCTCGTAGCGAACATGCACTGTCGCGGACGTGTAAGACGCTGTGAGTGCTTGTTTCCACTCGGGGACACTTGGCATGCGGCTCAAATCGAGGTCCCCGTTTTCCTCCTTCACTTCAAGGTCCAGGCCACCGATAAGGTCAATGACAAAGCGAAGGCAGCTATTGAGGTCTTCAATGCCCTGCAGTCGACCAGTTACCCAATCCTCCAGGCCTTCATCCAGCTTGTCCTTGAATTCCATCCTTTGCGCCTGATCTTGGATGATATCAGCAAAAGGGAATGCAGCCTCTTGGTGGACAATATCAACCAGCCTGCTCTCTAGTATATGCATGGTTCGAGGGTCAATCCTAGATCGCAGTGTCCAGATGAGCTCCAAGAGTGCAGCAATGGGATCGAGGGGCTCGGAATCCTGTAATTTCCTGTGGTATTCAAGAGCCGAGTCGTTGGTGGCAACAAGAGCAATGCGCTCTCGTTCGACAACGATAGTGCCATGGTCTGACCCACCCAGGCAGATGGCTAGAGGCCAACGGGCACCTCTCTCGATCTCCCTACACCGTGCGATAAACCCTTCCCAATCCCGTTTCAAGGCACTCCAGTACTTGGAATATTGTAGTGCCCCAGTACGTGGATCCCGTGTTAGTCTGACTGTGCAGCCCACCACTGCAGCGATCTGCTCTCCGACGCTTGCGTATGTCGTCAAGATCTGTGGAGGGTACGGAGGGGGCAAAGAGCGGTGGGCATCGGTGTACTGCTCAACAGCAGTCTGTAGGGTTAGCGAAGAGAACATGCCCGGACGCATGATCGCTTCGAATAACTTGCCTGCGAGAGATCCCGATGACAACAACAGCTCGTCAATGTATGCAGGAGTGAGCTCGGGCTCTGGGGAATACCGCGTAATACGCCATTCCTGATCCTCTATGCTAGACTCGTCATAAATTAGAGTAATGTCATGAAGCATCGATTGGCCCTGACAATCCCACACGGTGTGCAGGGTCTGCATTCTTCCATCAACAATGAAATCCTGCAAATGACAGTGAAGACTTTCGGGTGACGCCTCAAAGGTATACAACAACCGCATGCTTGTTTCCTTGTTTAAATAGAGTTGGAAAAAGCCACCAGAAGTAGAAGCAGACTCTGTGGGAATGAAGACGAGAACGTACATGTCACCGCGGGATCCATGCCACGCGTGTAACAGCTTCTGAGGCTCAGGGGGGAGCAAAATAGCCGGACGCAGGGACGTAGCGTCTCGGACGAGGGTCTTCTCGGAAGCTATCGCCGGCAGTGGGATCGCGACCACACAGCCCCCCCCTGGTGTCCACAAGCGAAGGGTTCGGTCTCGAGAGAGTGTGCAGGCGTTTGCCACATCTGACGGCGGCGGGCAGCAAGCGATCGACACGACAGCATCGCCCTCTGTGGGTCTTTTCATAGCGGGAAGCAAGTAGGCGAGTGGGTTGAGGAGGCTGCGGTTTGAGTACTTGGTTTCCCTCCAACGGCCTAAGCTCCACGTGTAAATTACGCGAAAACTGTAAGTTGGAGAGACAGTCCTACCATCTTCGTCTTTCATGTCTCTCTCTACGCGGAGGAGGGAGCCATCAGGCATGGAGATGGCGGCACAAGACGCGTTCTGTATTGCGATCGAGAACCCTTCCCCTTGGTGCGAAACCGCCTGGAGGACGTGTTCGTGACACCACTGGACGTGAGACGGGGGTGGCCACGATGGGATGCCATCGCGAAGGGGAACCAAAATACGGTATAGAGAGCCGTTGGATGAAAGGGCCACGATCCATAGGCCATTTCCATTGTAATCAGCGATCGCAGGGTGAGGCAGGAGCGGAGACGCAAAATCAAAGCGCAGGGTAGGAGTTTCCGAAGAGAGCGAAACTAACTCGAGTATGCGACCATAGTGAAGGACACGCAGCAGAAGGGTGGTGTTCAATGGCGTGAGGAACTGCGTGGCATAAGAGGCGTGCTCGGGAAGAGTTGTCGAAGGGGGACTCTTCTCGGAGTAGGAATCAGAGATTTCGTTTTGCGTTGTCGGGACAGGGACCGGTTGCGGAGAAGGAGCAAGTGAAGAAAGGTGGGTCGCCACCAGGATAGCGCAATTGATGAGAGTCATGGAGCATGAAGACAATGAAGAGTGCTGGTCTCACTGACAGGATCTAGAGCGGAGACGGCTGCAGTAGCCTCTGAGTCCGCTGCACTGGAACAAATACATGGGCCAACGCGCCCGTGTGGCCATCACGTGCGCGTCACGGTCACGTTATTCGCTCCTTCTCCCTTCCAATCGGGCAGTCTGCACGCCTTTCTGGGACGCGAAATTGAATGCTACCGCCGCATCTCCCTCTGCCCATCCAAAACGCGCGTCTCAGCCAAGGACAATGGCAAGCATCCTCCGAGGATTTGGGGGTCCAGGCGATGCTGTCGATATGCCTTACCTCATGCGCATGCATCTCCGTACACCATGGGTATGCTGTGCAGTGTGTACTTTCCAGGAGGTGACGGTGAGTCCAAGCCCGTCCTTCCATATATATGGCTACCCGCTCCCTCCAGAATCCCCAACGCATTTCCTTGGTATCTTTTCTCCTGTACATAGTTCAATTTCTATTTCTTCTACTTCTTTTTGCCAATGGACCAAATGCTCTCTTTCGATGCAATTGTCTTCCCTGCAGACGACCGCCCACCCCACCTGGTTTCACTCATGACAAGCCCCCTCACCATGCAAATCTCCAACATGCCCGAGCCATTCCGCTGCAACCGCGTACCCCACGCTGAAATGTACATGGACTACGTCGCGGACACCCTCGGTCCCCGTGCCTGGAGTTTCCAAGTACGTGAACACTCAGCGCAGGTCATCTCCCATCCACTTTACTGACCGTCTGTGCCTTGTTCATATCTATAGGTGGTTGACCAGCTCGAGGGCATGAGACAGAAGTTTCCGACGCCATACATTGCCTTTTACCCCATCGTGTCCCGAGATGGCATGCCGTTCCCGGTAAACAAAGGCATCCGAGAAATTCAGGGACCGAAGTTCAACGAGGCGCAGGCATGGCGCGGCAACATTATCGTAGCGAAGTACCGTGACACTGGGTACTATGCCATGATGGATGCGACCATAGCGGACTTTCCAATTGTCAAGAATTGGTTTTCTACTAACCTCCCTGACCCACGAAGGTTGCATGAAGCGACCGTAAGTTAGCTGATCCTCACGATCTCTTCATTGATCTAATTGAAATTTAAACCCAGGCGCCGCCTGTTACTTCATTTAACCCCGGGCAAGCTTTCTAGAGCCAATGAACTCTTGTAGATCACCAGACACTCATCTAGGGTACTATGTTTATCGCACCCCAAAGTAGCATATGTAGTATAATAAGTCGATGCATAGACATTCAGATGTATATCCTCGAGACGTCCGGACCATGTACGTGGATACTGCATTACGGCTATAATTCGTCATGTCCGTGCTTTATGCCATGCTTTATACTCTCCACTTGTTCGGGGCTCCGAGCCGCCTTAGCTTTCTTCGGATCACAATGTTCGGGTATCGGACTCGAAGGGTCGATTGGTGGATGAGATACACGTCCGACCTTGACGTATTTCTTATGTTCAGCATAGAATAATTTCCAGTTTTCCACGCCCTGCGGTAGAACGCCCAGATCCTCAGTATCGGTCCGGACACGCCCACACGCCTGCGGGCACTCACCCTCAGCTCATCCTCGCCGAGTCCACGAAGGTCATGTGTAAGGTGCGTGGCGAAACATCCTGTTCCAAAAGCCCGCGCGGCGTCTCTACCAGCGCTAGACATGAACGCCACTGGATCAGTTCACAAGCACATAGCGCAAGCGAATAGGAGCAGACGCACAGCATGTGGTATGGCCCACCAGGACCGTATGTCAGGCGGCTGGGGCTCACATCGTACACGTCCCCATCAATCTATAAGTAGTCGAGCATGCAGGCGCGAAGATAGGGGGAAGCTGGGACATACAGCAATATAGACAGGCTTCAAGTCGTTGGTGCCATCAAACGTCGTGAGCATGCCCTCGGAAAATAGCCGCTGATTTGTCTGCAACGAGTCAGGCGGGAGATGAATGAAGGGTTCGCCATCATCTGGCTGCAGACAAGCACCCACCGGGATCAGTTTCCTGAGGTTAGGCAGCTCCTGTTCCCATAGGAAGCTGCCGGTAATGAATTTACCTGCGAGGAGCACAAACAAGATGGCATATAGGATGAACTTGAGGAGGCCTAGACACCCAACCTCGGGCTCCTCAGTGGGATCGGGTTCGTCCGGCCCAACTTCCTCTCCCTTGGCCAGCTTCTCCTCTCGCTCCTTCTTGCGCTGCAGCCAAGCCGCATGTTCCTTCTCGCGTCTGGTGCGATACTCGGAGTACCTGCGCCCGTTCCGCATGCTCACTAAGAAGACTGAAGCGTGGGGACATACGATTCGAACGCGCGTACCCGAGGAACGGGCGATTCGCCGCCTTGGTGGACACCATTCTGTCGGGGTCCATAGGGTCTGGCACCTTGGGGTGGTCGTCTGCCATTTCGAACAAGTCGCTGAATTAGCACCGATGGCCCTTCCGTCTGCTGTGTAGAAGGCGAGTGCGTGTTGCGTGTCTGCTGATGCAGTCACCCTAAAAGCAGACCGTAGAACTAAGCTATTCGACGCAGCAGATGCCGTAGGAGGCACAAAGGAACAGTCGGCACACGGTTCATATGCAGAGAACTCCGCCACCGCGGACGCCAGCATACAATACAAGTCATGTGATTGCGGCTGAGCTTCAAGTTAGCAGTATACGTACATAAATGTTTGTTTCTCATTAACTCTAACCAGGTGTTCCGAATATTCAGGTCGAGACTACTTGAGTATGTATGGAGCAAAGATTTAATAAGACACCTGATTGAGGACAGTGGCAGCGACGCCCGACAGCCTTGAATCGATCACCGATCACAACGATCTCAGGCGGGCCACGGCGGCTGTTGTCCGACGCCCACAATTCCCGACGTCAAACAAGTGTCGCAGCATATACACTAGGGTAAATACAACATTAGTGTGCCGGTGCACAACGGTATCGACAACACAACACAGGGAGTGTATATATTAGGCAGGAGAGACCCTTGGTGTAAACCAACAGCGGCGTAAGATATTAGATGTACAGGTATAGGAATACGGATGAGCCAGCACGGCAATAACCACCGCACCGCGACAGAAATTGTCTTGTTCTTTGGTGAGTAGGGAATGATGCGATGATGAAGATGGAAAGACGAAGCGACAACGGAAGACGAATTAGTAATGCATGGTGTTCCAGAGTAGCCCGATACCTATTGCGACGAGCAGAGTGCAATGCGAACGAAGAGAGTCGAAGGTCTGTTGACGTAGTGCGGATGGAAAGCCATACAAATGCGACTGCATGGGAGCATAGAGGACGAAGCATGGACGGCGTGCAAGACCAGCATAAACATATAAGATCGGAGACAGACAGGAGCAGGCATAGATCAGTCAATCGGCGACCGAGCGAACGATCGGTCGCTCATGACGATGGCCCTCGCTCGCCGCCCGACCGTCGATCTTGCACTGCCGCACGTTGCGAAATCGTCACATACGCCCCACCCACCTCCTCCTCGCCCCCAAGTCCGGGAGGAACAGACGGCATCGCCGCACCCAGCATAACCGGAAAGTCACTGAGGGGTCCATCATCCTCGTTATCGAGCTTGATGCGCAGCGCGAGGAATCGCGGTGTCTTGATGAACTGAATCAATGCCAACATGTCAGACACTTATGGCCCCATGATTTGGTGTAAAGTAGGTATCCCTCACCTTTGGTACTGAATCTGTTGCCATCAGACGGAAGACATGCGTTTGTATGCGCTCATACAACCCAATCATCTTCTGCAGTTGTGTCGCGTTAAACGCATTTGCCTGCTCCAACTCCACGCGGCCCTGGAATGTCTTGCCCGTCAAGCTTGTGATGACATCGTTCAAGTATCCTGACAGTTCGTTGCGAAGACCGTGGTCGATATTGAGTTCGCTCTGACTTGAAGGCGCCAGATAGGTGTTGTAGATCACGAAGGCCATTTGGATGAGGGCCTCATGGTGGCGCTCCATGGCGAGCTGACCAGGCGTGGCCTTTGATCCAGATCCACTCCGCGACGACTCAGCACTGGAATTGGCGTTGGCGCTCGAAGTAACATCGAACTTTCGCTTGAAGTCCAAAACGTCCAGGTAGAACGAAAGATTCTCCTCGCAGAAGTTACTTCGTAGGAATTCTCGGAACAGAGAACGAAGTTGCGGCTCCTCGATGATATATTTTAGGCGGTCTGTGTTGCTCTCCTTGCCATTCTTCTTGTCGGCCTCGCTCGTGACAGTCAGCTTCTCGGTCATGGAAATGCGTCGGTGGATCTTGGCGTCACCGCCTGGCGCAGTGGCGCTCTGCACGCTACTTCCATGGTCGTCAGACGAGCGTGCAGCAATATTGGATGAAGAAGCGTTAGGAGAGCCGATAGCGCCTTCGGGCACATCCCATCGGGCTAGCTTTCGACCTTCCTCCGTGACCCTGTAAATGGCCTTTGCGGTACAGCGGAATTCTCCGGTTTGCTACAACAAACCTCAAACGTCAGTGATACAACGGCAACGGATTCCGGAGAACGTACTGAGATAGACGAGTTGGGACCGCCTCCTGCACCGCGAACAGTGAAAATGATGGCAGAATCATTGTTCTTCCGCTTGTCGCTGACTAGCGAGATCAAGCCAAACCGAACAAACTGCGCCGCCATCTCTGCTGCCTCTTCTCGTCCAATCACGGACGTGAAGTCGCACAACCACTCTAGTGCCGTCACCGCCGCAAAGCAATGCTTCGTCACGGTCGCCGCCTTCGCACCCACAGGCCTATCCGCGACATCTAGCAACGCCACACCTTTCGCCCGCTCGTGATACCGTTGGTGCGCATCGAATCCATCCATGCTGTCTGGAGGATAGTTGGGACGACGACCGACAAACCGTCGGAAGAGGGCGGTAATGACCGAATGCGAAACGATAATTTCATCATCAACCGACCGCCGCTCGAGATGCAGCAGCTTCATGCAGATGGGCTGTGAGGCGAAGACGGGCCCCAGATGATCTCCGTTGATTCCATTCTTGCTCATGAAGCGCTCCAGGACATGCAGACCCTTGGGCGTAAGCACATAAACACCGCGATCCTTGAACAAATTTGAGCCAGGATCAGCAGCATTCTCGATCAAACGAGCATCCATGAATTGCTGGCACATGGCCTTTGCCATTTCGCGAGTCATAGAGAAGGTCGTGGTCGTCGTGGTTGTCACAATTCGGGAAGGGTCTCGAGGATCCGGCCCTCGATTGGATTGCGAGAACTTTAATGAGGCCAGATTCTTCGCTGCATCGTCGCTAGAGAGGCGTGGTTAGTATGTTTGCCTGGGGATATTGCTATCGTTTTTTTATAGAAAATAGTGACTGACGTCGTGAACGAATGGTGGTATGTCCGGAAGAACTGCTTATTGGAAGTAAGCTCTAACGACACAACCAGGGTCGCAAACAGGTCAAGGGTGTCCTGATAGAGGTTCAGCATCGATTGGAAGACGAGACATGGGATCAGCGAACCTTGAGAAACGGCCTGCCGCGCTTTGTCGTCTTCATCATGTGGGACGACGAGCCCGCCGGTGCTGACGCCTCTGGAGCCATAACGGGCTACAGGGGAAAGGGAACAAAGAGGGGGAAGAGGGGGCGATGAAGGGATGGGATAGGATGAAATGGAGGATCGGGAGGGCAGCGCAAGTCGTCGGAAGATTGGAACACAGCTGGGAGAAGAAGGGCCACGCCGTGGGAATATGGGGCGCATTTACCAGATTTCAGCGCGATTTGCTGTAACCGCCACGTGCGGAGCCTATTCCTGGGGTCCGAGTCACGGGCGCCTGCGGGCACCGGCTATGCTGGATAACATGCTCTGCGGCATCGCTTGGAATGAGAAACTGGTTGATGCGCAACGCGGCGAGGAGATGTGTGCGTGTGCGCGCGTCAACGACGGTGGGCGACGAGGTGAGGGGGAGCTGGAGGAGACAGAGGGAGTAGGACCCCAGCTGGGTTCAAACAGGGGCAGGGATGGATAATCTATTCGTATCTGGGTGTTTCTAACTACAGCCGATTGTCGCGCGGTAACTAGGCCCGACTGGAATACAAGTTGAGTCATCGTTTATCTTATCCCGTCGCCATGCTGCATGCGCATTGTTTGAGCCGACGCAGGCCTCCGTAGCTCGCGCTGCTGAGGCGTCGGCGGCGGAAGACATGTGCCCGGGCAGCCCGGGAATAACATATTGGCTGCATGATGGGATCCGCCGTCGCCAGGGCCGTCCCTCCGTGCGCCATCAGCGAGCGACTCAAACAACGCACACGGGACGCTAGTCGCCGTCTGTGGCGGCGGCCCGCATGCCTGCTGCCGCTCATCCATCCCCGGCACCGATTAAATATCGATCGCCGCACGACCGTAAGCTGGCTCGTGCCTCCCATGCGCCCTCTTGGCCACGATATCATGGCCCACCTCGGTGCTGCCTAATCGTTCAACGTTCAGCGCGTCGGTACGCACATTTTTTCTCCCCCTGCAAGCCGCTCGCGTCGTGTGCACCCCGTCCTGGATTTTCCTCGTTTGATCATCTCCATATGACTCTCTCTGACACTCGGCACATCCGAACGACTTGAAACGCAGCGCATTTATGACGCAGCAGCCTCGGGTTCCAATCTAACACGGATTATCTCCCTTCATCTTGCACGCTTCAGTTACACTACTTACTGCTTACTGTGACTTTGACCTGCGAATGCCCCAAGACTAAATAGGTAAGGTTTTCGATGCCGGCTCTCAGCCACCTTGTCCGCAAAAAGCGGGGGGCTGGCCGCGCCACTTTGGCTGCTGTGAACCTCGAACGACCCTCGCGCTCTAGATTCAGCCACTTTCGTAACCGCCCATCGTGGCTAGTGGCATTGCGGACGCGCGTGCGGGTAAAGTCCATCTGTTTTGTCGCGACATATGCCTTGACATGTACACTGACATAATTCAGGGCCTGACAACATATCAACAGTCCACCGCCCAACTCCGTGTTTACCTCCGATCCATAGCGACGAGACGGAGTATTCCTCTCTAGAATGGGGAGGTCCACCGTCGGCGCGTCGTAGCCCGGATCTTAGACCCGTATGAGTACCAGCGACCCTTGTGGGAAGCTCGCGTGGGTAACATCCTTGTGCGCAGCTCCCGTTCGTCGAGACTCGCCAACACCCAGACTTGACATTGGGGTATACGGCACGGCAATCAAGACACATCACGATCGTATGGGTGCTGGCCAGCGGCGGCCTCTGCGCTATACTTACCCATACGTTATGTATCAGCAACACGCACCCCCCTCTATGGTGGCGTTCGAACCTCTCGCTATGTTCACAGCCCCTACCATGACGGATCCTCCAGGTAGGCCCTCGTTGTCGCCTGATGTCCAGCTTGATTCATGCGGATTACTCATCTACATCGTCCACAGGTGACGAGCGCAGCGCCGCGACGACCGGCCATTCGTTCCTTCATTTAGAGCCTGGTGCCTGCCCCACTCGTCCTCGTATGCTCATCGAGCGTCATCGCAATGACTGGTACACCCTCGCACACGGTAGTCGACCCGTGAACGGCCCTTCCCTAAGGATCTTTCCCGGCATTCCTGCTGCGTTCGCATGAAGTATGAATTACGATACCTCTCGATCTATTTGTTCCGCGAGCTCACCGGTTGCAATCGATGTCTTCCAAAAAATATCTTCTACCCGCTTGCGCGCAGACATGTTGTGGGATGCCATGTTGTTATTTGCAGCTCTGGTCTTCTCCCGAGACTTCTAAGCCTTCACTTTGTTCTGTTCGCCCTGGGTGAGCACTTCTTTCTTCCTTCGGATCTCTTTCATCCTCAACGGCCGTCCAGAGACTGTGAAATGCGTGGATTGTATGACGAGATCGAAGCTCCCAGCACCTATTTAGCGGGGTTCCGCCGGGTCTCTCCGTTGCGAACCATTAGACACTACGAACTACGAAATTACACGACCACGGCCGCCAGTGGCAGCCATACACCATGCATCAATCCATCAAAGATTTGGTACTATGGTGTGCAGCACGCAAGCCTTGCATGCTCTCACAGACTCGCAGGACTGGGAACAGAAGTGTATCATTCAACTCGCGATAGCCCGTTAGTGGGGAAGGCAGATCATCGTAGACGCTCTCGGGTTGCCGCCGGCGCACAGTGGCGTTGATCGGAGTAGAACTGGTTTGGAAACCGTTGCCACCCACTCTATCGCCCAGATTCCCACGGTCTCTTGAGCCATGAACTTCACCAACATCAATGTGAGCACTTGTCCAAGTTTACTCTGCTGCGTTCAAGGCTTCACTATGTTTGCATAGGATCCTGCTGGAGTCAAGGCTCTCCTCGATCAGCTCAGGTCATCTCAAGCATGGCAGGAGCTTGCCAGTGCTCCCTCACAACCAGGTCCAAGTGGTGCTGTCACGTCGACCTCCTCCGCAAAGCCTTTCAATCCACCCCCCAGTGAAAGTGCTGAGTCGCGTCAGAATTTGGAGAAATCCAAAAGTAGTTTGTCTGACAATAATGTAACGCCTGATCCTCCAGGACCGTCCTCGTCTGTTGCAGCCTTGCTCTCCCAACTACATGCGCATCCATCTCCACCTATTCCGTCGCCTCTGCCCTCGCATGGCCTGCCGCTCGTTCAGCCTCATCATTTCGTACCGCCGGCCGCACCATACCTCCCACCCGAGCCGAGGCCACCCACGACGACACCCTCGGGCCCATCCCCATCGGTTCGGAAGGAGGATCTCCGAGGTTGCACCTTCCAACAGGCTCTCCCGCATCTCGTCCGGCTGTCCGAGGACCCTACCTTCGTGGATGCCATCTCCTTGGCAAGTCGCACCTACCTTGCTGCACCATGCGTTTCCCACTGACGTGTGCCGTCATATGACTGATACAGCTGAAGAAGGAGCAGGCTGATCTGGAGCGGCAGCTGTGGGACGAACGAAAGGCGATTCAGCGCAAGCATGAGGAAAAGATCAAGGTTGCGCGGAACAAGTGCGTGTCCGAATGTCTTGGTTAGCTTCCGTATCGCTCACTCCCCGCAGGGCGAGTCTGATTGGAGTGGGGCTCACGCAATTCGAGGCGGATGTGCGTCCAGATACCTCGTTTTGTTCTGATCCCACCATACTGACTGCGTAGTGCCGGGGTCCCAGATGATGTCCGACGCTTTTCGCAAGGAGCTACGAAAGTTTGATGCAGAGCGTGTCCTCCCTGCTTGGGACGGTCTGATTACGAAGCAGCAGGCGAAGCTCGAGTCGCTCAGCGTTCCGGCAATGTACCAGACGACGATGTCTGCAGACAGAGAGGTGCGTGGGTAACGCGTTTTATTGCAGTTTACTGGCTGAACCCTCCCCAGCGCCAGCAGCGCGTCATGCAGGTGCTCAATGGAATTGTCGGTAACGAGGGTTCTTGACTGTCGCCAGAGCGTCTCGCTTCAGTGGCGCTTGGCGCCCGTTCCGCGCTTGATCTCGTCGACGTTAGGCAGCACAGTACAAGCGTCAATTTTATCATCGCCTAGGTCGTTGATAGGCTCTTGAAGGTGAGAGATCTGCTTGAGATCCTGGGGGCGTCCCATGGCTAAAGCAGGGTCTTGCCAGGGTCCGCAATTTATGTAAGATCCCATGCACGGACGGTCTGTCTGTCTACCGGCTTGTGCGCCATGTGATGGCCGGCGCGCTGAGCCTCCGATTGTGCACGGAATCGGACAGTTTTCTCTTTCTGTTCTGTCGAAGTTTGCGGTGTACGCATCTAGACAGCTTTCAGCCTTTTGCCCAGCATTCCCTCGTTTCGGACGGCGCTTGCAGCCGTAGCACACGCACACGACAAGAGTGGATGCTTCAGTTCATTGAGCATGACAGGTTGCCCTTACTAAGTAGCCTAGTCTCCCTTGCGGTGGGCTCCAGGCTCCGATGGGTGTGCAACGAAGCGAATTGTGGAATAACGGAATTGTCTAGGATTTAAGACTCGATTGTCGGCTATGGAGACAAACTGAAGTCGCCCGCTGCATGTTTGGTCGACAGCGCACGCCGCCGCACTCTGTCGTGCAGCCTTGAGATTCAGGACTGACGTCGAGGAGATGATGCCTAAGAATGATAGAATTTTACAGATCATACTTAGTCTTCATGATGTGATGCGCTTTCGAGGCTGAGACGGTTTCGGGCTAAGGAGGTGGGAAATGTAAGTAGGCGGATCGGGGAAATCTTGACGATTTTGGGAAGTTTGACCGATGATAATGGCCTTTGCCTGATGCCGGCGCCGCTGTGCGCGTCGTCGGGCTTGCAGGGCTGGACTGGACGACGGAAGATGTGCAGAGTGTCGAGGACGGTGTGTAGTTAAGTTACCACTGGTTGCAGTCGGCGTGTGCAGCGTCGCGACGGCGGGAGATGTGATCACGTGTACGTGCTGCAGCCGCGAAACAGGGCGCCTGCGATCGGCAGTGGGGCGGATAGGATCTCTTTCTGGAGGCGTAGATGCGGCCGCTCGTTTCGCTGCACAATTTACCGTCAGACGGTGTCTAGCCGCCCACAGCTCCTCCTCCTCCTCCTTACATGTCGTGATTTCGCCGCTGCAGTCGCTCCTTTGCTCGTTACCATCGCTATGCCCTATATTGACATCATCTCCTCCGACGACTACGCCTCCATCTGGTATCAAACAAACGCGCCTAACAGCAACGTCGGAGGCTTCGACCCCAACAAGCCTACCGTCGTCCTCCTCCACCCCCAATGGCTCGACTCGACATGGCTCCACCCCCAGATGGACGACACTCGTCTGGCTTCCGGCTTCAATATCATTGCGTTCGACACTCGCTCAACGGGCAAGTCGCTAGCTAGACCCACATCCAAGTATGACCTCTGGATAACCACTGCCGACCTTGCATATTGCTTTCAAGTGCGTACCATTCCACACGGAATCCAAAAGACACAGCTCAGAGCCCACTATAGCATCTTCGCTTGTCTCCAGCGCATATATTTGCTTGCGATCTGAACACATATGTTGCGCTCAGGTTCGCTATCCTGTGAGTCAGATATCGTGCCTTTGCCTTACGATTCTATGTTTATTGGCCTGCAAGATTCCCCGAATTGTGTTTAAGCCTTACGCTGTGTAACATGCCAGCACAGTCGGAGTACGATCATTTAATTCATGCACAGAAGCCAGGCTGAGCCGTGACACGCATAGGGTCCCAAAGCTCCTCGAAACAATGGGGGAGCTTGTGCATCTATGGTCATTCGCAGAAGATCTTGAATCATTCGAATATTCGTGTAAAGAACTATTGGATTTATACGTCGGCTCGGTAAGTTAATCTCGCCAAAGTCATAATTATCGAGCCTTGATTATATGTGTTGCTTCTTGCTTGTTTAGGATGCATCTATAGATCTCCAAGATGAAGTACGTTTTAAACATCTTCTCCATTGTAGAAGCCATGTCGACATCACTCTTGACGCTCAGCTTGTCTCTTATTGGGAGGTGCACTATCCTCCATTCCGGAGATCATTTGTCATTACAAATGTCAATCTTTATCTGAATGTGGGTTTATTATCCTCGGGCTTGCCGATTTCAGCTGCTCAATCGTCTTCAAGCGAACACGATTAACTGCGAAGGAAATGGCCAGCGTGACATGTCCTGTGGTCATTATTCAGGTGGGTGCAAATGAACAGATCCGATATTCTTATTACAACTAGAATCAGGCGGAACGTTGTCAGACACATCCTATGAATCTTGCAGAACAAGTCGCCGCGGCCCTTGTCAATGTCCCCGGCGGCGCCAACATCTTTTCCGTGAGATGTCAGTGTATGTCGGGATCATATGTATGAAGCACTGGTTAACATCAGTCTTGCCAGGTACACAAGGATACCTCGCGCTCCTCAGCGCATCCATCGTCAACCAAGTGTTGTATAAATTCATATCCCGTCTGCCACCAGCACGGTCAGACCCTGTGTTTGATGGCCCTGGCATCGCTGAGCGGATGAAAGCCGCATTGGCGAAGCTAGCAACCTTGCACGGTGATTCGTCCATCGCCGAGCGGGACCCGCTCTCGCCGCTGTCGTTTTCGTGTGCTTCCGCGGAGGTTGTAGAGAGGCAGACTCAGGCATATGAGCTGTATCGCAAGGGGGAACGTACCGCATATTCCCCCCTTGCCGCAGACGGACGCCCCCTCCGCAAGTACGCATTTATCCCCATGTACGCTCACAGTGCTTCGCATGTTGACCTCGCGGTCCACAGGTTCTCCGAGCGGAAAGACCACTGGCTGGACGGCGATGCGGACGGATTCTCTTACTCCAGTACGTCACTGCGTGTGTCCCTGTCGCGCCTGTTGCTGACGTCGTTCTCTTCGCGAAGCGGGCAAGATCTTCGATAAGAAGAAGAAGAAGTCTAAGCCTGAGCGGCAGTTGCTCCGCGAGGAGCGCATCGCGCAGTTCGTGTTGCAGCCGCAAGA